AGGCACATAAACACTCGCTGATGAAGTTATCTTTCCGAAGACTGGTTCATTATCATCCGTATTTGTGTCATCTCGTTTGATATCCTCCTAGCTGCTTCATTGTGTACCGCATATAGATCGTGTCGCTCTAGATATAGGCACCGCTTGAAAAGAAATCCTCTCGACTCGCGTGAAACCCGCCCAGGAATATGAAACTCTTAAGAAAAGTAGAAATCCTTCTTGTACAAAATGGACTTCTCAAAGATTTACCCAGGCCAGTCTAGATTCTCGTGTTCATGCTAACTCATAATGAACAAAATACGGTATATATAATTATTTCATGGTGTCACTTCTCATACGGAAATTCAATATTTATGTTATTATGCATGAAGTATTTGGCGGTGATGTGTTTGCGGACAATGAAGACGCAATGCGGTTGATAATTATAAGCATAACGAAGTTCGTAACGACAGATGTTGTCATAATTACATAAGGATTCCAAATCATAACGATGATTATGTATTAGTTTAGATATCTGATAGTATGGATATAGCATAATGGTGATATGAATAATGATGATGACGACTCGTCTTGATGTTATTATCTGGGATCGTTATTGCTATTGAATGACCGATAATGCGTTTGATAGATGAGACTGCACTGAAATTTTGATTTATGTTCGACATGTAACATTTCAGATTCGTTATGTGTAAATACATAAAAAGAGTTCGACTGAACCTAAACAGTTACACTTTATTTTGCAAATAGCTGTAACGAACGCTTCATTGTCATTCCTACGAAATGACTCTTCCTGAGAAACGAACCGAAAAAGTCGCATTGAATGATAGCAGAACGCTTGAACAACAATCATTTACTGGAATACCAAAACGGCAGTCGTCGCTACAAGTAAGTTAAGGTCTATCTTTGTGCAATTGAATGATCTTTGAAAATGTGCTTATCGCTCACACTCTTCAATCAGACGTAAGTGTGAATTACTTTGTTCTGGATTAGTAGTGTTGCTCAGCGGAGATGGCGAAAATATGCATTGATCCGTTATTGAAGTTTCACTCTTTTATTCGTTCATTCGACAGCTGCTAATTCTTCTCTTATTAGCATCTAATTCCAAAAAGATAGATGGCACTGCTGCGCTCCAAAATATTGAATTTTTGCTTGAGTGTAAGATTCTATTCGGACACTATCATAAAACTGCTCTGATGTAATCGTACAGCATGCAGTTGGTTGCATTTTCAAACTCTGTGTAGGAGACGAATTACGGCAATACGATAATTGAAAATGATGAGTCACATCTTTGATGATTACTTTCTGCAAAAAAAAGAATTTGAAGTGTTATCAAAATGCGAATAAAATACTGGTCAAGTGCATGAAGTTATTACTAACAGCACAAGAGACACTTAACGAAGCAATGATGATCTCAAGATGCGATTACATAGAACTCATACTGTTGATTGGCAATCACCTAAAAGCTATAATGTTTTAGATGAAAATTAGAAGGGAACACAAATATTTGTTAATAAGAAATGAAACAGTGAAGTCAGGATGGTGAGAAATATTGTCGAAATTATGTTGCACGTTAATACCATTTAAATATGCCCTCGATAGCAACTTACTGATTATATTCTCTATTTTCGTTTAGAATTGAACGCGACGGATTATTTTTGGAACAGTCAATTTGATTTACTTGCTTCAATCCACTTACCGTCATATTCGTACTCTTATCTGTTTTAATGGCTGCTGCATCCCTGTCTCTCAATAGACTCGAAAATTAAGCATTCGAAGTTTGTAGGGAATAATTTGCAGAATTTTTGAGAAAACACGAAGCTATAATGAATTTCGAATTGCTTTCGGTTCTTCCGAGTGGGGAACAATTTAAAGAGATACTGAAGTCACTTTATGATCAGAAACAGAGAAATCCATCATGCTTCTAGCAAGATCTATTTCAAACAGCCTAATCATGCGGACAGACACATGATAGATTACCACTCAAACTACATTACGACATTACCCTCCAACGACCAGTGTTGAACAATGAACAGCTTTTTTGATTCACTTGCTACTGCGTTCACAAATTTCGTCGTTGAAATATATTGTATCAGTTGGATTAACTGAACTGTTCAGTTATACTTACTTGAGAATCATATTTCATTAATCTTTTCAGCATTCCTACAAAAAGTACTCAGTACAAGGAAGGACATTTTTAAAATACTTGTTGCATTTCGTTCAGTTATGTTAGTTGTTGCATCTGTTTGAATTGTTCGAACAGACAACTTCACCAACTTCAAAAAGTCACGCTTCTCTTCAAACATAACAAAGGAACAGCATATGAATTAAAAATTTTTAATCTTATCCAAATACTGCACTTCGGTCTTAAAGTTTATATGCAAAAAGGTGAATTCGTAGGTGCCTTATTAGCGATGTCCAGCACTAAACCGACTTGCGTGATATGAAAAGATCACGCTAATTGCTGGATATCGTCGATGAGAGCAGATTTGCGCTGTGTTTGCTCCTCTTTCGAACGTCATCTGAATATCAATTTCTTGATCAACGTTTTGCTGATACGGTAGTCGTTTGAAGGGGCATTTTTTTTTGACCAATTCCAATTTTTTTACTATCGTTTGCGTGATTGATTATAGACACTTGAAATAAGCTTTTGAATTATGAGAGAAAAAGTTGATGACGATCATTAATAGACGATCAACTGCTGAGTAATTTTTCTGATAATTGAAAAATATCTCATAGCTGAAAATTACTTGGAAAGTTTCATCCGGAAAACATTCATCACTATCTAGAAACATGTGTTCACGTGCATTCGACATGAATTATCCCTCTCTCTTCAATTGAATCAGAACGTAATATACAGTTAGTTATGTCACCATCTGCTGAAAGCATAAATAAAATGACTGTTGCTTTGTACGATCAGGATTTAAGTCAAACGCTGTCTGTATGCATAATCCTACTGTGTTGCCTGTTATTGTTCAACTATATTTTGATGACTCCGTTAATTTTAGGTGACTCATTATCCCGTAATGTTGTTGGCTAATGGAAACAAACAGAACGAACATTCAAAGGTCACTCTGACAACCAGGTCGATGTTGTTTTTTGCGCTAGTTTGATGGATTGAATTTGATGAAGAGTTATTTCCTTAATGGCATGAACTCACCAACACTTGAATGGTTTCATTTTAGTTCATTTTATAAAAATACGAATTGTAAATAATTAATTTTCGTCTAACGGTTCATCAGAAAAACCTTAAATATTATGATAATATTTGTTTTGCTTGATGAAATATGAATCGACTAATTTATCTTTGAAAATTATTCGTTAATGCTCGCAAGTGAAAGTTATTATCTACCATTTCAGTTGCAATGATGATTATTCATCAGCTTCTCAATTAAACGATGATCAATTAGGACACAATTTTAATAAGATATCATCTGTGACACGTTCTCAGTCTGAAGTACGAAATTTTGCGACCGCTCATATGAAATGTATTTCATTTGACACACGAAATTGTGAACCGTCATCAAAGCATCGACAATGCTCTTGTAATCAATTAAATCCACGTACTGCAATTGTTTGGACAACCGAATTCGGTGATAATGAAAGGAATGGTAAGAATGCTCTTGAAAACCAATGGGGACATCAGCACGTGATAAATCAGTAGTATTTTTGAAAGTAAAATTTGGCTGGCGATATAGCATTTTTTGGCATAGAAAACAAATGATCAAAACACTTCGATTGATGAAGAATCGAATTTTATGAAAGCAGTTTATTTTGATGAATAGATTTGCATTTGTGAAACTGAAGTAAAGTTTCACTTTATTTTCACTCATGCAAATCATACTAAAATAATTGAATTTTGTTTTTTACTCAACGAAAGTCTCAATCGATTGCTTTGTTAGCAGTCATCTCACCCTCAATAAGTAATTTCGAATTCATACTCTTTCGCTTTGAACACTTTCATTTTCTTTAACATTTTTCCTTTCTCCCAGTTGATTTTCTCCCACGTAAATTGTTTTTCACATTTGAACAACGCAGATTTATGATTCTTTCTTTGAATTTTCCACTTATATGGCGTGTCAAATTGAGCATTAAAAAATCTTAAGTGTTGTCTATTTGAATGATGAATGGCGTTGCCTTTATATATGTATGTATTTGCTTTACTAACTCAGAAACGAATTAGGGTAATAAAATCGAGAGAATTATTATTTTCACGTTGAGCATTTGTGTCGCTAATAGATCATTCATAAATGCTGCATTTACTCGCTCGCACATGATCCGTACGTATATCATTTTGTGCCGATTACCTCGAAACAGTCCTCGTTTTTCCAACATTTATTTCATTTATGACAATGAATCTTTCCTACTTTTCCCTAAATGCTCCTCATTTAGCATCCAATTCTTCTCTTGATCATCTACGTTTTTCTTTTGTGTGAAATTCTTAAGAGATAGGAATTTGTTGATGATAATCTGTGAAGCGACATAATACCTCTGTAAAAATGTCCTCTTTTCAATGTGGAATTAGATATGTCATTTTGAGTTTATTCTATTTTATATTCGCATAATATTTTTACTATTTTCGACGAAATTTTTTTCAAACTCAAAAATCAATTTTGCCCACTGAGAAGTCTATTCCATCCGAGCGAAATAACAACTCCTTACAAATGTTCTCTCATGGATCAGTAAACTTCGAAGAAATCAAAAAAAAAACAATTGGACTGAAATATTCTCGTCAGTATCGAACACTGGTACGACAAAAACGACAAAACAATGCGTTTGTAGTTGGTTAACCTGGGAAGTTATCAGTTTTGAATGCGAGTTAACGAATAGCTGAAGTGCGATATTATTATACTTGAATTATTATTCGAATGTTTTACATTTTGTATAAATATCTTCTAAAGGTAACAGAGATTGAAATAAATCATAGCGATGCGCAATCGACTGTGAAATTGAGTCCATGTTGATGACAACGAAAGCGATCGTGAATTTAAGGTGAATACAAAATGCTGGAAACAAAGACTGGTTGTTCGTTTGTTGAAGAAATACCACAATACCAAAACGAGCAGTGCTCTCCTGCTTCACAACTCGCGGATTGCCCTCATATTGGTTTGTTCTCATTGTACTTCATTATTGGAATATTTTATTCTTTCTTGTGAATCATTTTAGTCAACAACAGTTCATCATTCAGCATTTCATTTGGATTGTATGTTTTTCTTGCTGAGAATTTGAATGAACCTCTTTCTTTGCTGATTAATAAAGAAATCTTTCTGTCCTCATTGTTATTATAGTTGAACCGTTTGGACGGACTCAAACTGTTTTATCTGACAATTGAAATGGTGACCAGTTCAAACTAACGATCACAACTTGTCATACTGAATCAGCAGCGCCTCTGATGAATGAACATCTTCATGAGTTTGTAATAAGTTAGGAATGTGATATGCGAATGTAACGAGCTTCATTCAGTTCGCCAAGCTTGAAATTCTAATCGCGCACAGTCATAATGCTGCTCACGGTCGATCAAATTGCACAGTCAGTTGCACTTCACTGTTGCGTTCACTTCAAATGCAGCGTTGTTTCAGATGACGATCAGCATGCATCACCGAAACAGCAATGGACCCTATCGACAAATGCTTTCCACCAGAGTTTCGATGAAAGAAGTTCCGGACAACAGACTTCATTGAGTAATTCGTGCGGCGAGCTGAACGATCCGGTCGATTTCTTTGAAAATTCATTTGAGTTCATATTTAATTTTATTTGATGTCGTTCATTCATAGTGCAACATTAAGCATTCTCTCAGGTAGTCATTCATTTGAAGATGCGATCCAAACTTTAGAGATTCCTATCGATCATCGATAGGATACGTTAGTTCCGTGTTATTGAACAATACATTCCAAGAGCATTCTTTCTCTCAAATTTTGCTATTTTAGTCAGGTTCAACTCATTTGAACCTATCGCTTAGTGGTCAGTGAAATTTGATGAGGTAATATCATTTGCCCATGCTGTCGTGAATAGAGATATTCACGAAAATTTTGTGATTCACCTTCGTTATGTAATATTTATTCTTTATCAAATTATTATATCTCATTTTTGAATATATCTAAACGTATTGCACTTTGTAATATACACCACGTCATTCTTATAACATCATCTCATCTTATCACACCTTAATCGCACTTATACTTTTGATACATAATTCTGTTCTGTTCATTGTTGATGTGTGTATCAGTAAATGCTACGTACTTATAAACGCTCTGTTCAACCACGATATAAGTAAAACCCCCCCTCCACCATATATGCAGACCGGTGATTATGACAGTTGCACTTTTTATAAATGGCTTGTTACTTTCAATTTCCTCACACTATTTGAAGTTTCGCATTCATGATTGTTGCGAATGCACAAACACAATGATATCGTAAAATGAGTTTTTGTCGATCATGAGCGAATTTTTTTTCAAAGTAATTTTATCATTGTTTCTAGTGTCGTTTCCAGCGGAAACGTCGTTCGGCTTATTGCAGTGGAGTGGGACGACCAAATTACAATAGCGGCACAAACAGTGCAGGAGGTTGTTGTTTGCTGATAATAATTAGTTACGATAAATTAGCTGAAGATTATAAATCTCATAATTCTATTGAACAAGCCTGCTCCAATAAGAAGGTTCTCTTGTTTCATTTCAGGTGGTGTAGCAATCAGTCAAACGCGTCCACCGGCATTACGCTCTCCCCAGTCCTCATTTGATTCTAACAGTAACGTCGGTCAGGTTGGCGTCCCGAATTTGATTCATTGACGTTCACAATATCAGTTTCTTTTCGGTTCTCATAGCGAGTCCACTCCCAGCCATATAATGCAATTTTAGTGTACCCTATCCGCACAATTGTATGAAAGAAACTTTTTATCTCCGTTAGTGTTCTTACTTTTAAGTGACGCGGTGAAATGAGATAAAACTTGCTTTTTAATCGCTTATCTGTTGATTATGTGCTGTTCTGTTATCCGTCTAATCTCAATCTAAAGTCGAAACCCAACTCTGACCACAGATCTGATTCACTGCATAATCGAATCTTATTGACCAATCTTCGTGAGATAACAAAACGACATGAGCAAGGTTTTACCACAACATGACCATGGTCTGGTAGCGTGGGCCTAGAGAGATTTCTCGGACCGCCTAGAGAATCGTTTCCTCCATGAATCGTTTTTAATTAGATTCATACACTCATGCTCAAATTACCCCATCGTTTGCCTTCTAACAATTCTCTATCACGTAAATTTGGCTAACGACTGCAAAAGAATTAAAAACACACAAATCGGCATCAAAAGCACATGTAAATTTGATTCAGTTGCTCCCTAGATGGTCCTCAGATAATTTGCAAACGCCTTTCGAGGTAAATGTGGCTTTTGGGTTGCTCATTACTGCGATTGATTGATGTTATAGATCTCAGTGAATTTTATGCGAATGAATGGAACGATCGCACCATTCAAAAGCTTATTAACCACTTTGAACAACACCTGTCAACCCACCTCAACAGTCAGCCAACGAAGTTGTTCCTCATCTCACTTAAGTCGACTAGCGAATTTGAAGAAAACAAATAATGTTAACTGTTTCTCGAACGATGCGATAAGATCAAGTGAACAGCATCTATCCGATACACAAATCATTTCACTTGAAGGTTATTATTATTATTATTATTATTATTATTATTATTACTATTATTATTATGGTAATAATATTACCACTATTATGATTACTGTTGTACTGATTATTATTATGAGTGTCGTTATTTTTTATCTCGGTATTGCTATAATTATATTTTTATTTGTGCACAGCTCATTTCGACTAATCGAACTGATTGTTAGCAAAGAGATTGTGATGAAATAAATAATGTGTTTGTGCATAAAAGTAGCTCATAGTGTGCTTATAAACAAACAAAACACTGCTGTAAATTGCAAATCTTATTGGAATTCTGAAGATGGATCGAAGAAGTCGTTATCGCTGGTACTAAGTGAAGATTTGGAGGGTCAAAGGAATGGACCTAATCAAGACGACTCTGAAACTCCATTGATGAAACAAAAGGAAAAGAAGTATGCTAATCACAATTTGATTATCAAAGTTCCAAGTGTTTTACGAGATGTTTATGGTGAAATACAATAGGCTTTTAAACAACGATTTTCACTGACACGCTTATTCGATAGTTGAAATTTCACGAATGATTACTTCAAATTTCCACTGAGATTTCGAAATAATCGATTTTTTAAAAGTTCTTATGGATAAGTGATTATGAAAACAGCCACTGCTATTGCCTCATTACAGCTGTGGACGACTCCTTCAACGACAAGAATTATTCCTGATTCGTCGAACCACCAGCGATTATGCGCTCTTTTTTGCAGTTCTTGGCATTGGTGAGTAATTTTTAGATCATCATAACCGTCATTTGACTATTTCTATGCCAATACGACAAAGATACAACAAAGACGTAATTTTCGAGCCAATCACTGATTGACAGCGATTACGTATTGTTATGTAAAACGCGTTATCACCATTGGCAGAATATATTTAATGCAACATTATTGTCACATAAATTTCAATGGAATTAACGGAATGATTAGGCGCTTTTCAAATTTGGATGTTCGCCTTCAAAACTGAATGTTCGATGTACAAACACATTTTAATATGTCTTATCATGATTTACCTTTTCGAATACTCCGTTATTAACTGTATGGAGTTGATAATATATTGAAAAAACAAGGTGTACGTTTACTCCGAGCTCTTTTCATTGTTCAATAATTTGACGAAACGAGAACCTGGTTTCAACTGACAAGTTTGCATTGGACCGTGACCGATTGAAATTTATTGACTCATCAATGAACATGAGCTGCTTGAATGAATAACATAGAGTATAATAATTTCTGACATCAGAGCATTACTGATGCGTTTGCTCTCTCAGTGAGTTACTATTGTTGATTTAAAGAAATGATAATTTCAGTTTTAATGATAGTTGAGAATGAAATGAGTGCAGCGCACTTATATGAAAAGGTTTGTCATTCAACAGAAATGTTTTTTATTCGCTAACATAAATCGTAACGTTGCAAATGTTCCTGATTTTTTCACGCTTAATTCCAGTTCTAGTAAAAAAATTAAAATAGGCTATTTATTTATATGCCTACAATAAAACATCATGTCGAAAAGGAATGATTGCTCAAAAAAATTTTTTGTACTGAATGCTTTTAAAATGATTCTGAGTCAGAGGATCCAAATTTCAGGGCTCTTTGTTAAGTTTCACGTTAAAATCATTCATTCTTGTTAGCACAATTATACTGGTCATGCTCGTCATTAAATTTCACGTACATGAAGTCCAGGTTGGTTGTTATTATATCACGCGTCCCCGTTTGCATTGAATTTGCTACCAACCCTTCTTTCTCTATCCTATTTAAGACCACTTCGGACTTTTCTTTCGAGAGACATGTTTCAGTTTTCTCATTTGAAATTACCATCAGTGCCGAGGAGCTTCATGCATTTGAATTCACATCAATCATTCCTGCAAAAAGAATATGATTAAGAAATTTCAGTAAAGTGATGACCAAGTTTGGTAGTTGATATAGAGAACATGAGGTGAACAAAAATGAAGGGAATGTAAATTGTTGGAGGAGATATACGTGATACATTTTTGTGAGTGAATTGAATTTCGATTAATTCGAAGAATGAATATAATTGTTGAAGTTGTTCATGAACGCAAATAGTGCTGAGGATTGGCGTATTGCAATAACGTGGAAACGAATCATGCAGATCACTGCTGAAATCATTGCATGCGCAACTTGTCCTTTACCGATAAACGTGACTTTCGCGTGGACGACGTTGTATGCTGATGGAGAAACAGTATGCTATCGCTCGTTCTTTTTTACATTTCATTATTGTTTTCTTATTCAGCGTACAGTTCGTTGTTTTCACTATCGGTGCCTGACATCACTTTATTTCACTATTGGTGTCTCACATCACTAATTTTGCTCTGTTTTTTGATTTTTCAATCATCTAAAAAGGAAGCGAGGCGAACACGTTAAACAAAACGACAAAATTTTCAAAAGTGCAAAATATCAACTTTCAGTCCATCATTTGCAAATGAACTGTGTTCAGAGGAAGTCAGATTATAGTATTGGATTCAAAACTGTTGACTGTTATAGAAAACAACGAGCAACATACCTCTTGATGTGTTACTTTCGATTCCGATGTTCTTCAGGTTATATTGGCTGTGTAGAGTGATGCTGCTTCACAGCAGGTTCGTGCTAATCTTATTCTTTCATTTCGCTTATCCCCTGTTTTCAAACAAAACCATTGTAATTTACACTAAGTTTTACTGGTCTTTGAACAACAGATAGGAAAACAAATTTTTATTCGTAAATAAAAAATATTGCTCAGTTGGTCCCTAGACGGTCCCCAGATATATTTTAATTGTAATTAATCGCCTGTAATTTCGAGGAATATCGCGATATGCAAGGTACAATTTACATCATAATATGATAATTTCAGACTATTCACAGATGCATCTTCAAGAAGTATTGCAGGTCTTAATCGAGTCAATTTTAATGCGAGGTTTATTTTGAAGACGCTAATGACTCTTTGTCCAGGTTTGTAAGATATCTTGCTGTTTTCAGGCGATTTTATTACGATGAATTACATTTGGGCTTGGCCTCAAACTGAGACTCACATCAGGGCTGAGTGATTTGTTAAACAATTAGATAGTTCCTGGATATGAGTCTCAGCTTAAGCCTAAGCCTAAGCGTAATCCATCGCAACATCATCCTCTTATTACTCCACATACCTTATCGTTAGAAGCATAACTTTCAAAAGATCGACTTTCAAGAATGCACGGCCAAATTTCGTTTGATCACAGTCCTTTTAGCGTATTCATTCTAATTATTTTACTGTTTTGTTGAATTCTACTGTTCGTGTAACTTTTAGGCACAATGCTGATGGTGTTCACTGCATCGCTGTGGATAATCGCAGGGTGGATACTGAGGCTCTGCGAAAGGTTTAATGCTTAGGCTTATAATTAACTTTGCAAGAAAAAAGATATGCATACCTCCTTAAAAGTTTGTTGAATTGGATAGGTTCTCTGTACTTTCCCCATAACAGTCGTACTTTTTATTCACTATAAAATGATGATTCAGGCAATCAGTTAGTTTTTGCAAAACCTCGACGATGTTTGCAACCCCGAGATCGGCATTAAATCCCGGGATTCGGCAACCATTGAAGTTTGAAAGTGTCAAGTGTTCAAAATATTCCTTTTGATGTGTTCATTTCCAACATTAGTTTTAGGAAGGAGAGGGGGGAGGGAGATGTCTTGTTGCTTTGCCACAAAATCCGAGGTTAGGGCTCCGTTTCACGGCATTTTTTGCCACTTCACACTCCGCTCTCAGGAGGCGTCCCAAGTTCTTAACTTTGGTCTGTTTTGCAGGCACTACGTTAGCGATCCAATCAATGTGCAAGCCCAGAAACATCAAAATTATCTAAATTCATTGTGGTTAATTGCAATTACGTTCCTTTCTGTTGGATACGGTATTTGCTGCTTCTGAATTGATTCATAATCATTTTTTGTCATTGAAAGTCGAACAGCTTGTTTGGTCGCAATACGCGTACATTGAATTCAGTTTGAGAGTAGAAAGAGTGACTTTTGATTGCTTATGGAAATTTTGATTTGATTAATCGGGTTGAGTGTTATGCATTTTCACATTTCAGGAGATATTGTACCTAATACATATTGCGGTCGTGCAATGGCTGTTGTGACTGGAGTGTTGGTATGTTCTTTATCTTTCGATTTATCGCTTGACGTTTCGAGATAATTCTTATGTAACAATTAGATTCTTCAGTGTAAGATGTTTCATTCAAATTGATGACTTGTTCGTCCGAAACAATATTGAAAAATGAATAATACTTGGATTGGTAAAACAACTCAACTTTGTTTCAATTCTGCCTGATTTTTATTGATTCTAGTTGCATTTCTTTAGGGAACTTGTACATCGTCAATGGTCGTGGCGGTTATTGCTCGTAAACTTGAATTATCGAGAGCTGAAAAGCATGTTCATAATTTCATGATGGACACACAGCTCACTAAGCAGGTGAGCATCGATTTCCTTCTACCTTCTACAGTTACATATTACTCAAATATGTTAATTGAAGCAAGTTTTATGGTGTGTCCAGTAAACAATGCTTCACTTTACCTCGGAATGTCATGATAAAAATCTCAACAGTAATGCAAAAGAAACTATCGAAGAATCTGCAATTATCAGAACTGCACCTTAAGCTGCTTCAACTAATGAATGGTCAAGAAGTGGAATATTAATGCATTGTTTTCGTTACTTCCTATCAAATTTCTTCAAATAAGGTCATTTCATTAGTGATATAAAAAGATGTTTCATTCAAGCTGAAGCACAGTGCAGCGAATGTGTTACGAGAAACGTGGTTGATCTATAAGCATCGATGTCTTGTCAATAAAATTGATCCAGCAAAAATTCGTATGCATCAACGCAAATTTCTTGTCGCAATATATTCGTGAGTCTTGAGATTTCTTTTTTTTTTTTTGATGTGCACTTTCAACATTAAATAACTTTCGTAATAACTCAAAACTGCGCACTGAAATGTTACCACATAATCAGTTAAACTGAAAATTTGCCTTCTTCATAATTTCAAGAGAACACTATTGATCAAAAACCGATCAAGCTTTTGGAGAGGAGAACTTGCAATCAGTGCAAAAAAGGACGCTTTGAGTGATGAAATTTTAAAAAAATATCTGTAGTCTTTCTGAATCGATGTTGAATAATGACTTCAATTATTGCTGCTGAGTGGATGAAGACGTAGTGATCAGCGAATAAGTCGCTTGACAGGCAAACAACGTAAAGAATCATTATTGTGAATGATCTGATTTGACATTATCTTTGTTTTACGGCAATTTGACCATCAACATTTTGTTGGTCATCAGTTGATGAGATTGTGAATATCTGCATGAATAACGACAGCCAAGTGGCAATGAATTATAACAATAGCCATTGTTTATCGTCAGAGCAGTGATGAACAATTTCGATCACAGTAAACGGTTACTTGCAGACTGCGCAAAGTAAAACGAGATCAACGGAAGCTTGCTGAAAATTTAGTATCGCTCGGTGATGTGGCCAAGGTTCATTGATTTGTTCGCATGATCCACTTTCTTTTTTTGATTATCAAATTTATTAATTATAAACGAATATTTTTAGCAATGAAAATAACAGAAGTGAATTGCATTCCCATCTGCTATTGTTAATGCTCGTTCATGATACGGTTTTGTTTATGGATCATTCATGTGGATGTTTCTTTATTGTTTATGAGTTTCATTGTAGACCACTTCAAACACGTATGAATTGATACATGATATCAGTACAGTCCAGGAAGGTCTTTCACTGCGGATGACGGCCGTTGAACATCACTTGTCAGATATAAGTCGTGAAATAAGTTTCATAAGTGATTCACTGAAAGCGAATAAGGCGATGATGAAACGAGCTAATTGGAGTAATCAAAATTCAAGTGTTGACGATACAGTTAGCGATGAAACAATTGTACAGCCCTTCGACAGCGTCAGAAAACGACGCAATCTCGCCGATCCGTGAGGTTATTCAGTTACTTATTTATACGACGCTCACCGTATACGAGGCACAAAACCAAGATGAAGTTCAAGATTATGGCTTCAAAAAACGACATTTGATGTTTTCCTAAAAATATTGTTCTTATTGCAGAAGTATTGCAAATGAATGACAAATATTGTTTCCAGAATGTAATGATTGCATTGACGTTTTGCTCTAATTCGAATAAATATGGCTAAATGATGCAAATAATTCGTGTTTCATCATCTGAATTGGTGCTTATCGTCATTTCTTCTACTTGAAAATATGGTATCAACAGAACTTCACTCAATTATTTTAAGATGGAATTCAATTTATCTAGCTACAGAATCATCCATCTGAACTAGCATTGTTAATACACATGCATCTTTCGAAATGATCTCATTATAGATCTCGTTGTTTTCCTTAGCGCTTTGTAAATAAATTTAAGTTGATTGATTTTTGCATGCTATTCAAATAAAATGTTCAACTATCGCTTGTCCCAATTGTTCGGTTTGTTTATTGATTTCAAGCTCTTCCGATGCGAATCGGGAATAATTTTTTTTTTTGAAATTATGAGGAACGCTGATCTCTTTCCACTTTTAGAAAGTAGATAATCGTAACAGTTCAGTTGTGTTATAACGTGAAAGTTCAATTCTATCTTATTCTACTGTAATTTTTCACTTATTGCCTTCTTGTTGGTCCACTCTTAGCATGATATCAAACGATATTGTACCTGATTTATTGTCTATCTGAGATATCGTCAAGTGATTTACTGTCCATTTGATCACCATCCCATTATTCCAACAGAAAATTGTTAACGTTCAGTTCTAGAACGATCCGTCCGGTTTTGCCAAATTTATGGTAATATTTCAGCGCGTTTCTATGTAATCCGTTCATAATTGTTCAATGAGCTTCGTGTTTTTGACTGTGCGTGCCGTAAAACACCAATGATCAGCCCTACCTCTCAGAGACGTTGGAAACTTCTTTTTAGGTGCTTTTCCATGAGGATCTTAATGCAACTTATCCGTCTCCATCCGTTCAAAGCCGTTGAGAAAGTGACACTAATTTGCAGAAAAGTGGACATTTCGAAGTGATTATGAAGGAATTTCAAAACCCTTTCACCATTCCTATAAGTAGACTGTTTAATTTTCCAGCATAGCTTTTTTGTATGCTAAAATACAGAGGAAGTAAAACCTTCATGAAAAGCTTTAGCAAATTCACGAGAATTAAGTTTTCTGAACACCTAATTTCCACATCGTTTTGATAGATGCCTCTGTTTTTTAAGCCATAAGCTCCAAGGGTTATTATTGAGGTTTTATGGCTCTTGTGTGTATGTGTATATGTATGTACCCATTATACATATTCGGCGTTAACGTCCAAACATTTTATGAGTGAAATAAATGTTCAAAAAGCTTCGAAATGTACTTGCTACAAGATTAATATTCAAATTTCACTTCTCCGGGAGAATTGTCGGAAAATCAGTCAGTTGCTACTTACAAACATGCTCAATTTCTTCTGACACCCTCGAATCTGACACCCTGCACCACATTGATTCTTTTCACCCTCTTATCCCAAATGAGACACTAGATACAATTTTGCAAACGAGCGAACTCACATAACAATTGAAAGCACTTATGTCTGAATGACTCACTTCCTCTAAATCCCTAATCATTGTTGGCAAACTGTCCTCATTCTTTTCAGAATCAGCTGACTGGAAATGAAAGATACTGAATTGGAACGCTACGGGGGTTGGATCACCTGAGTTGTTTTTTAAATATTGGGCGATGGTAATCGCTTTTGTTCGCTAATTAGGTTAGCTAGGTTTGGAGTACCAATAATCTGAGTTCTTCGTCATAGTTGGTGTGAAGAAATCGAATGAAGAATTTTAGGAGTGCAAGCTGCAAGCTGGTTGTAAAACGAACAACGTAGATTTTTCTTCTTGTGTTTATTCAATAGATTTATGGAAAAGTTTGTTGGGATGATACGGCTTCTGTGTGTAAATAGATCAGTAGGTTATCGACATTACTGTTGAGGTGACCGAACAGTGTACGAAGAAGCGGCAAAACTTGTGTTTGTTTTGTTTGTAGTGTGACGTATGTTTTATTTCGGTACGAGCATAGTCAAAAGTTCCGAAATCCCAGTCAGTTTAATTTTCACGATCTGTTCTGTGTTATTTTTTTTTGGTTTGACTCATACATACTGATTCTGCAAATCCTTTACTCAGTTTTAGCAGCCAATAAGAAAATAACGACGTAATGAATGGTTACATGGAGAAGTGTTATTATAATGATTTGGAAAAATTTAGGGTAGTGATTTGTTGTTGGAGAGCAGTGAAATGGAAGATGTTAATATATATCATGAAAAACAACGTCTACAGTTGTGTTTATTGCATACACTTAACAATCTGCTGCAGAAGGAAGCATTTACAAAATATGATTTGGACTGTATAGCTGAATCTTTGCATGATTCTCGTTGGTTTAATAGACATCGTTCTATTTTTGGTACAGGAGACTATGATGTTAACGTACTGATAGCTGCACTCGAAACTCATCACCTTCAAGTTGTTTGGTTCGATGCAAGACGTTCTACGGCTGATATTGATCAGACCAAGGTGATTGGATATATTTTTAATGTAAATTCGAGAGGGTGGCTTCCTTTATTCAGTGGTCGACATTGGTTCGCCGTTCGTGAAGTTGGTTCGGCAGGTTTCTTCAATTTTGACTCGAAAAAGTCAGAGCCTGAGCCAATCAAAGATTTTTACCAATTCGCAGACAAATTGTTGGCTGAAGGAAGTCAATTAATGTTGGTCGTCAAACCAGAAAATGCTGGAATCTGTATGCCATAACCTCACTCTAATCACTGCCTTCTAGCTACCTTTGGTATTAATGCGGTTTTATATGTTTTTTGAATACACTATCTTGTTACTGTATCCACCTTGCCATTTCTATGTGGTTTGAGTACGGAAAGGATCCTTTATAAGGGACATCATATCCTCCTTCGTTTCTAATCTTGATTTTTACAAGCCTCTGTCTTATTGTTGATTAATTATCTGAAATGTGGGTAGCTATCGGTTGAAGTAATGTTGTCAAGAAAGGATTTTCCACGAAATTCTGAAATGAAAATGTTTCACTTGACCGTTAGTAATTGCTTTCCAATAGATCTCAGTCATTATGTGATGATATCATTTCATTTTTCTTTGTTTCAAATGTTTTGCAAGCGCTGTCGTTTTATCTTGAATGATTGTCGAGAAGGTTCTCAATCGTGAACTTTATTATATTTTATTAGTTGTTAGCTGCTAAGTGCCTGAATGCAGTGCGGTGAAACAGGTACCTTTAAATCGAAACGTTTTTCGATAAAAAAATCTCTTTCGAAAGGAGATCAAGCATCAGCTTGCATTTACATTAATGTTCACCATTGTATGTGAATATCGGAAGCGTTTCTTCGTGCATACAAATGAAAGCGAAATGATCAGATAGACAAAATGAAACATTATTTTTGGTAATGTTGCTGATTTTGTACTGCACTGAAATTTTTACTGATTTTTTTTTGGAAATCATTTCTGTGTTTTCATCATTCTCAGCATTGATTATGCCTCAATTTCTGTGCACTGTTCACTGATTGCTTTTTAAATTTGTATTGATTTTACTCATATATGTATACTTATTTTTTTAATCATCGAAGCTGCAACAATTTCCTAATAACCATATCGAAATCAGTGGAAAGGAGTTATTGCATGCTAAACTGTATGATGCCACTTTAGTAGGCTTCACTTATTCATTTCGACCAGATCTGTCGTACCAATTCAAAACTTTATCACCTGATAAATATGCGTTGAAATTATGCTCTTGTTTAATTGGATGGTCGATATTTTTGATCTATTTGTGAATACTGACCATGTCTGATTGGTTTACTGGTCAAGAATTCTTTTTCAGCATCTCATTTGTATCGAACGATAATGTTTGTAATTAGTGCTTTTAACGAATATAATTGATGATGAACACTGATTATAATGGTATCTGCATTCAGTAGCGATGTTGCGTAATTGTTATGTGATATTGAATGTGCTCAAGTAATAAATATTTCAGTGCTTCATTTCAATTCGTTCTGATATGCAGGCAACAAAATTTGAGGTGGATTGTTGGAGAGGACTGCGGTTGTGAATCATTTGCGTCGAATTTGAGTCAATTGAACAGTTCGTTCTTTTCGTTTTTCTTTAAGACGTTCGCAGTTGAATTGTGTAATACTCAATAGTGGGACTGACTGCGATATGACGATTTTATTGAGGCTGATGTTTTATTTTTCATTTTGTTGATAACAGCGCAACGTTACTGGAAGTATCTTCGTTAAGAAATTCTCTGATTTTTCTTGTTAGTTATTTGTTTCCTAAAAATCAACGGACAGTTCTGAGTCGCCGCCTGGCTGTGAAATTGACAAATTTCATTCCTTTCAGCATTTCGCCGTTTGTTTTGCATCTTCTCGGTCTGCGATGAGAGTCGACAGCTGTTGCTAAGGCTTGTCATAGCGTTTTTTTGTGGGATGCAAAGGTGAAGTGAAGAATTAACTTTTGAATTTATGCAATTCTTGCAGCTTATTTGCGTATCAATGTCTCATCGCAGTCAATTTTGATTTTTTAAATCACATGTCTTCATACTGACTGATAGTTTGTCTTCTTGATCATCTATTAAAGCTGAATAAGTGATTAAATAACTTAACAACATTATAAAATATTTGTATTTTCCAATAGGACAGTTAGAAAGCTTATGTTGGATTGCACATATGGTAATACAGTAACCTCAACAGTAAATAAAAAAAGGATTTAATTGAGGCATTGAATTCATTATCTAACCTTCAACATATCTAATTTATTTCTTCACCCTCTCAGTTCTCACACAAACTCTCACCATATGATTTCAATCTCTTATTTGCAAGTTGGTTGTATTTTCATAATTGTATTTCCGCACTTCCATAATCCTTTTCTTTATATCTAATACCAGCATACTGATCCCGCATAATGCTTAAAGAGATTTTCACTAAAAAACCAGACATGGCCAATAGTGTGCTATTCTGCTTATTGCGGAAGCTATCGCTGTTTGATTCAAGTACACCGCTAGCATTACGTTTAAGCTTAATGAGCTGCTGGCTTTGAATAAGTTGCATGTCAGTGCTATGATAAGTTGGATGCTTTCTTCAATTTTATTCTCGCTTTGAAAGGACATGATTGATATTTAACGGGAAACCGCAAAGTTGGCCATCGATAAAAAATATTATTATTAAATCTGAATCATTATGCGCCTCATAAAAAAAGGTTGTGCTGGAATATTATAGAGATTATGGAAGTGATAAGGCAAATAAGTTTTAGCAATATATATTGCCATTTTCTTGCGATTATGCGATTATATTCTTGAAAATTCGGATTTTTTGGAAAGATTTCCTGTTTTATTTCATAAACTCGCTGATTCTTTGTGACTCAAGTAGCAACACATCGGATATGAGATGGTGAGGTTTGAATGTAGATGAGATGAGATGACTGAAACGTTTGGTAAACAACAACAGTAAGATGAGGTTGTTTATTTTGTTGAATGTCATGTATGTCACATCACATCTTGCTTCTTCCGAATCGTATCGTTTCGCCGTCTCAAAAACAAAGTTAAAAGTAAATAACATGTTTACGTGCTTCGGTGTTTTCGTTTTGCCCATTGCCACACACACATTACATATATATTCTATATTCTTTCATTGGTTTGCAGATAATACTGAGGGATGTATTAATCACATGTTTTGATATAATAGTTGATCGCATCGTGTACGTCATATCATTATCGTGGTCGTTATGTGTTCTTGTTTAAAACAATTATTATTTCATTCTTGTGAATAACCAGTGGAACTGCGAGTTTATCAGAATATGTGCATTGAGGAGTTTTTAGTTTGGTATTGTTGCTATTAGGTAAATAAAGAGTAGTGCTCGTGTTGATTGCCACTGAACGGATGCATCGAATTATTAAGGGTGAAATGAGCGATGGATGCACAATCAGCGTAAAGCCAGTCTGTCTGTCAAAACCTGCATCAGCGAGGTTGTAATGGGGGAGAGAAAATGGGAGGAGGATTGTGTGCTCGTTTATATGAGTGCTCTGTTGTCGTCGTCTATGTGTTTTTGTTTATGCAAAAGCCGTCAATTCCTCATCTTGCAAGTGCTATTATTCAGGACGTTTTACGATGTTCTAAATGAATTTGCGTTTCATTTGAAAGTTATACGACTTATTAATGTTTTGTTCAAGAAATTGATCACCTGTTGCTCAATTGATATGTTTATTATTAAAATGCCATGTAAGATTGTGTTTTTGTTTGAAGCATCTGATTTTTTTTTGAATCGCATATTTTTTACGAACAACTGATCTTATCAAAGTATTGATAACGCATATCAGGCGATACAGAGTATTTTTGTACATAAACAATGTTGTTATGTTGAGAATCGCAAGTTACTGAGCTAGAATTTTGTGTTGTCAGCAGCTTTGCATAGACCCCTTATTGATTGTTGTTAGGATGACGTTTTGTTAGAAGCAGCACATCGTTTCTGAAGACTACTGTGCCGTAACTACCTTGTGCTTTGACGTATTCCAAAGGTTCCGTAATGAGAATTTGATCGTTCTGCTTCTTCTTTCCAAACCCTTCACATTATTTCTTTGAGAGCAAGGTTTTTTAAATTTTTTATTTATCATCGATGGAAGCATGCGGATTCCGCTCAACTACCCAAAAAAAAACCGCTCTTTTCTCCCACGTAACGATAGGTTCATGTGGAAAACAAAATACAAAAAGTCACTGCAAAATCTAAAATTTATTTTTGCTGTCCACATGTCGCAGAATCTCGGCTACGCATCTGTATCGGAGTGTTCATGTAGAACTCTCTCGTTCCCAATCATTTTTCTCATGATGAACGAATTCCGTTGAAAGTCGCTGGAATCATGACAAATGCTTTGATGGATAACAAAGTTGTGAGCCAAGCATTACAATTATTTTATTGCGGTGATTTCGAGTCGTATTCAATGAGGCAACTGATTCAAGCAGTTCTATGTAAGCACATATCGCGTTTCAGTTGCCCCAAACACGCTTTGTTGTTGTTGTAATTTCCGTTAGGTTTTGCTGTTTCGGTATTATTTAGGTTCTCGAAACTGTGATTGATTTTTTTTTTGATTTGTCTCTGTATAAATTGTGTTTGTTTGTGTTCATAATGCGAAATGAATGAAACGATTTTGTTACGAATAATGAGTTTAGAGCGTTTCGTAGTGACTCTGTTGTAATCATATCGTTCACTCTTGGAATGCGATAGATAGGCAGATAAATGTGTATGTATTTTTATGATTACATTCCGTTTGAAGCGATGTTGCGACGATTTTCGACATACATACCCGGCACTAATCGAATGCCGCTCGGGGTGATGTCCAAACGATACACAGCAAATGATACAACCGCAGCAGCAGCAGCAGCATCTCGCGTCTCTTCCTCATCAAACACTAGCAATCAGCAACACATACCTGAATTTCCGTTAGTTTTCTATTCCTGTTTCTATATTCATCTTGAGATAATTGCATTGTTCGTATTCTATCAATTATTTCGGTTATCTTTGCTCAACGAAGATTACCTATGGTCCGGGGCGTAGACAGAATTCTTTTCNTGGGGGGGGGGGGGGGGGGGGGGGAGGGGAGCGCAAAGTAGTCTGATCCAAAAAATAGCTGACTTATAAGGTGGATTTTTCTCCGTTTTTTTTTTCTTCCTTCTACCTCCTCTTTCTTATCTCTTCTTTCCCCTTTCCTTCACCCACAGTTCATTTGATGTGTTGTACTCATCGAATCTTCACATGCAGAATTCGTAATCTATACTTTCTTCGCTGCTGCTCTCTTATCTTATTTTTTCATATAACATCGTCAGTTCTTCGTTATTGATCATCAAATAATTGTTATTATAAATTGCTAAAAAAAATGAAAATAGATATAATTCAATTGAATCATGGTAATATCAAAATATTATCAGGCATATACTTGGGTTATTAGCTGTTAAAATTCTAAGCAAGTTGTTTTTGCTTCGCTCGAAAGTACTTTGTGGAGCACGGTCTTATTTAAGTGACATATATGTTAATTGATCACGATACTGATTTATCAGTGAATTTTTATGTGAGGGTAACCTGGTGTGTGTAATGTTGGTAACGTTGTTATAGTAACATGAAACGCATGATCGTTGATTGATCTTATCTGTTGTGTGTGATGACTTGCATTGATTTGTATGTGATTGAAGAAGATTGAAATCGTAAAGTTGTCTGCTTCTATTTTGTTTTTCTACATCCATTCAATGTCATTGTTCGTGTCTGATATCTTCATAGGTTGCTATCCTATTCGTAATTATACAATAATTAGTGCTGTAGCTGAAGTGAATTGCTTGGGCATCAATTTATGGCATTAACATTCACATTTACATGTTGATTAATTGGTTTTTTAAAACATTATTCACATTTCCTAAGAATAGGAGTTACGTTGGAGTTTTTTTTTATATTTTATATCTTTTGACATAGTCGTTTATTCCACTGGAATTGATGATACCATTTCTGTTGCTTTCAGATTAATTTATCCTGATTTTATTCCAACACCCATATGGGGTAGAAGAAATGCGCTAAGAGAAGAACTGGAGCGAATGGATATGCTGGAAAGGCGAATGCATCTTGACATTCCTGAATTCTATGTCGGTCAGTGAATTGATCTATAGAGGTTTTGTATAGCCATTTTGCACGCACTGTTGGATTAGCTGTGTATGTGTTAGATAATAATTTATCATTGTTGTTTTCAAGTGATGCAGCCCAAAGAATTTTGCATTTAGAGCGCAACGAATACTCGTATCATGCTGTGTGATTTTCTGAATTTGTAGGAATTGAATATATGTCTAGAGCAGGTATCCCCACAGGGGGGGGGGGGAATTATTCATTTTTGGGTAGTTTGGAAGTGTTAAGGGGATAATGAAGGAGGTCGGGAAATTAGTTCTGGCGATCTGCGTAGAAATAGCAAATTATTTTAGCGGGAGGGGGAAGGGTAATGACGGCCTGCCAGGCCATCGAAAAGGGTAATGAAACTATTGGTCTCAGTGAGAAGTATTTTTTAACGAACATCGTCAACTGAACGTTGTTTTATCATTTCAAGTTCAATGAAAATGAAAGAATGCATGTTTTAGGCTCCATAGTTGCTGTGACATGCTCTGATGCGAATATGGGTAATCGTCAGAATAGATTCCTCGGCATTTGTATAAATCGAAGTCGTTCTGGACTCAGTCATCGATTCACGTTGAGAAACGTTGTCGATGGACTTGGTACTGTAATGTTTTCATTTTTATTTCTATAAAATTGATGGTGTTATGTTCATTCCGTTAATTTTTCGTAATCTAATGCTTTACTTCGTCAAAACAACTTTGATCTGTTTTAATGATTATTTAATGTTAGCAATAAATATTCGTATCCTTTGCATTTGTCAAATTTACTTTCGTTTACTCGATTATTTATCATTCATTGTAGCTTAGATGATTAATGTTCAATGGACATTTCAGGTGTTGAAGTAATGTATGAATTATACAATCCAACAATTCTCAAAATTGAAACCATCAAATTGGAGAGGCGTTTGGATGACGATCTCACTTATTTAATGGATGCACTTCCTGAGTATAGCACTTTTGATTTCAATTTGGAACCTGTTGCGCATCCCGCTGGTGCACCAGTTCCTGTTAATCCTCTCAAGGTAATTATTAATAAAGCGATTTAAGAAAATTATTTCGTTTTTATTCAGTGAAGTATAAATCATCCAAAAAAAACGTTACCTGGGTGAACTAGGAAAGATGTTTGTTTGAATGCTTTCAAATCACAAATGTGTACTCAGTCTATGGAACGCTTCATCATCACTATTTAAATTAAATTAGTTCATATAATGAATATAAAGTTGTAAGTAGTAACTGATTTTTGGTTCATAATAACATCAAAATTGAACAGTGAGTTGAATGCATTTTATGGTCGTTTCAGGTGAAAATGAGACCGCCACCATGGACGAAGAGATGGGAATTGTACGAGTGTAAGGGAATCGACGATTCTTGGACATTGGCCACTCCTTATTACAAACGCCAATTTCACAAGACAATTGTAATGATTGCATTATGATTTCTTTGTATTTTTTATTTAAATTTTACTTCCCTCACTGAAGCATTGCTAAATTTCCGCGCAATTCTTCGCTGTTTTTTTCTTGGTAAGCGAACACTGTAAATTAATGATTAAGAGAAAATTGAATTTATTAGCAAGTGAGCAATGAAAACATTCTAAAAAGTTGAAAACATCAGTAGGATTTGTTCGTTAGGCTGAGCTTCCGCTGAACATATGATCGTATGAACACTTTTGTTTGTTTAAATGTGGAAGAAATAAAAAGGCAGCAATTTCTTTGTGCAATTGTTTTGCTTTTTCAGAGCTTCGTGATCAGTTGATTCATGAAGCAATCGCCAGTCGCGTTTATGATGTGCGCTTATAGTTGGGCGTTGTGAGAAAGTATTATTGAATGTTATTCATGCGTTTGAAAATTGGCATTTTCAGGTGAATGATCTGCGAAAGTATGATCTGATCGCAGATCATCGTGAGGTAGGTAGTGATTTAGAAACTGAAATGAAAATAGAGCAGGAGATGCATCAGTTCGAAAGCAACAAGCATCGGCTGGGTGCTACCAAACGACGAATCCTGCGCTCAGCCGCCAATACTATAGTGCGTCGTTGAAGTAGGATTTCCATCATCAATTCTTTGGAAATCACTGTGCGATTCGGTATACTTGCTCGTAATTACCATGGTGGTTTGCTGAAATGACGACGAGGCTCTAGGAGGGTATCGATGAAATTTTCACATAAAAAGAGGCATTAGATGCGTAGAAACTGAATAAATTCTCCCTGAAATGACGAAAGAAATGCCAGATCAGAGGGGAGGGTGTATATCAGGTTTTGATTGTAGTCAGATTAATGATGAGTGATTGATTCTCTCGATAAGGTGACAAAAGTAATTTCTTTCTAAAACTCTCTTGGCGTAATTCATCTAATAATATCCAACCGCAACACCCACCTTAACACGAACTGTTACACTTGTAATTCGTGTAGAATGATCTACCTCGTTTCAGTCATGAATAATCGATTATCCAAAAGTTGGAAATTAAGCTCATACATTCATGTAGCATATTCGCCGTGCTTCATTTGTTTTTTTTCACATCGTAATGCAAAACGATCGCTCATAGAACGCAACGCGAGACATTATAATCGATAAAACTTCAGTGTTATTTGTGAATGTTATTCATAATGTAGTTTTATTTTACTAGAATAACATTATTGTTTATTAATATTATTGAATTAGGTGGTGTTTGATCAGATTGTTTGTTTATGCTATGTTATGTTTTATATAGTATATTATCTTATCATATTGTTGTTTGTTCAGTGATTAGTATGTGAAAATAACAGCTGATTACTTGATTGTTACGTTTATAGATCTCATATGATTGTTGTTCTTTTCATCTTCTTCTACTTCTTGTCAGTCTCTTCGTTCATTTCGTAGCAGATACACATGAACGGCCAGGAATTATATCTGTGTGAATCGTATTCATAATCAAAACATTTATCTCGGCCATACTTCTTTCCTCATTCAGTCAGCATAAAGTACGAAGCGATTGCATGGAAGAATGGCTCTGAAAGCATTGTTGTTTCTCTTATAGCTAATCGTCGTGGTTGTGTTGCGGTTTCGAAAACATTGTTTTTTAGCGATATTAAGTTCGTATTACTGCGTAGTTGAGCAGTCGGTATAAGTCAGGGTTTCTCAACCGGAGGTGCTCACATCCTGGGGTATTATCTGGCACCCCCGGGGGATGCGAGATAAGATTTTTTTTTTGCAAATTAAACTAGGCGAAGACGGAGTTCAGCGCATACATGTGTGTGTGTAAAGCAGACGAGGGTGGACTTTAACGTATAGATTTTTGAAAAGGCCAAAATGTTCTCTAATGGTGTTCACTTATTTACGCTATAAACACTCACTGTAGTGGACGTTGTGAGGGGTGCGGGAGGAGGGGCGGGGTGGCGAGGGAAGGTTGAGAACCACTGTTATAAGTGATAAATGTGAACATTTTAATTGAATGGTTAACTTAGTTATAAGATATTTTCGTGTAAAATGTTCGTTTTGATATTTCAAGTTGTTATTGTTATTGCTATTGTGATTAGATGTTTTTAGGGGAAAGTTGATAATTTTATATACGTATTTGGTTATTTTGCGAAATTGCTTTGATAAGCAAACGAAAACAAAAAACATCTTTTTAAAGAACAAATGACAAAACTTTTGCTAGGATGCGTATGAAAATTGACATTTAATGTTGCTAGGAGGCAGGCATAAATGAAACAAAAAAATTGTGCAGCGTCCGAGAATATCATTCACATGTTTTGAGTGATTATTCATTTTCTTGAGAAGCTCAAAATAGTTCATGAAGCAGGAATTGATCAATAAAAGAAAGAGCGTCATTCGTTTATTGTGAATTGATCGCAGCCGTTGCTAGAATCGGCTTGGCGTTCCACAAAGAGGAATGCGATAATATTTTGATGAATCGTTTCACATTCTTTTCATTACGTTGATATTTTCTTTTCTTGATTATTGTTTCGCTTAGCTTTTACCAACATTTTTAGTTGCTATTGGAAGTTCTCATTTTCAATCGATTAATGTCATTGTTCTTTTAGTGTTTCGTTCATTTTTTGGGTCCTAATTTCATATACTTAGAGCTATGGAATACACCTGATAGTGCATCGTTCGTTCAACTTTGATCATTAATTTTTGATTGGAAAAAATTTTTTCTGTCAAATTTGAAATATGCAAAACATTCTGTGAAATATTTGTTGTAAGCAATAGTTGTAGACACAAAGCAAAAGTACAACTGCTTTGATTAACAGAGAATCTGTCTCATTGTCGGATTTGAGAAATAGGTATGCGTGCATTGTGTGTGCATTGTCGCGTTCGTTATTAACAAATGATCAGGTGTCTAGTAGTAGTAACTCTTCGGAAAAGAGTTGTTCTGAAATGTTGATAGCGATCAATAAGTACTGTAGATGAAGAAAAACGTTTGTTTTTCTCTGCTTTATATGAGAAAATGTGTAATTGCAGATAAGCGGTAAATGTAAAAGTGGTATTTAAACCAGTACGGTTGATTTGTTCGAATAATTAGTAGAACAAGTGGGTGATGGTGTTATTGGTTGGTATATGTTTGATGGAACAATCGAATCATCAAATCTGATATTGAGAGTTGCTGAAGAGAATGGAGACTGGTTGTGAAGTGGCTAAAATGGTGATGGAGAGTCGTGGTGGAGTGGTGGCAAGAAACGTGATTCAAGAAGCTGAACAGATCATCTCAAAGCAACAGCCTCTTTCCATCCAGACGTTTATTGCACATGAACGATGTCAGCATTCGATCAATTCACATTGTGCAAATGCTGAATTGGTTGAAGTATGGACGATTACTTTAAAGAGAAATTGTCGAAAGGATGAAAAGGTTTATTGTTCTTCTTAACGTTTCAATAACTATAAATCACTCAATTTAAATTTTATCACCAAAAATATTTCTTGCACAATTTCGCAAGATCATGTTTACCAAGATCATTCATCTGTTCATATGATATATTCCATCTCATCTCTTCATTCACCGTACCTAAAACGTGGGTGTGATGCATTATGTATTGCGCATTAATCATTCGTCCAGCAAATGCTTCATAGATGTTAATTACATCTGATTTGCAGACTCTTGAAGTGCTTTTCCTAAAGAATGCTGTGCGTTCGCATCTTCACTTCTCTCAGTTGAACTCATGGATCACGAATAATGGTGGTAAACTGCCAAACGAAACGACATGTGCCTACAGGTATGATCGCTGTGCAATATCATGATTTCTTTAGTTTGAAAAAATACCATGTAAAATAAATGATGAGTTCAGGTCAGTAAAGATTCACTCAAAAATGTATTTTATGTCGAAGATCCAAGGTACATAAAAATGCTATAGACTCATGTTCTCTGATTTGATTGTCGTGGAGTGTTGGTGTACTTGAAGACTATCATCCTCAAGCGAAACAATGGCATTCGGAGGTGAAAACGATGAGCGATGTGAAACACATTCATTCCCAGTTGCACGGTGCAATTCAAATTCGTATCTCTTTGTGAATGTTAAATGGTGCAAACGTGACGCACCACCTCAACTTAAATCGTGCATTCCTTTTAATGATTTTCGGTGAGCTTATTTATTCGTTCATTTTTTACCTCTAAAACCACAATCAGCTATCGCTCTTCGCATTAACATCTAGTATGCTGTCATTTTGTGTGTTTGCTTTCGCCATCTAGTTCTCGAACACCGGCCTAAACCGTTTTCTCTGATGAATCTCGTTTGTTCGTCTGCTGTGCGAAAGTCATGTCGGTCAAACTCAGTTGTTTTGATGCCGTTCCGTTCCGTGCCCATCTTCAGTCCTATTGTGGACCGCCATTTCCTCTCTCTGCTCCAGCAGTCTGTGGACCACAATCATTCCCTCTCCCCCCCCCCCCCCCCCCTCTGTCAGACAATCTATTACTTCTTATCAATGAGTGGGAAAAAAATTTGGTAACAGGTTAAACGATCAAGAAGTTTATTGCCAAGATTTCGTCGGTTTATCAGTCCCTCGTGATGATTTTGGTGGACGGCTATGTGAGAATTATGAGATAGTTGATGAACAGTGATTTGCCAACCCCCTCAGCAATCTCGGATTTTTCATGGAAGGAATTGCTTCTCTCTTTAAAGACCATTGCTGTAACTGAGCATATTTCACTGCATTGTTCACAAACGAATGTTTCAGTGTTCGTAAATTAATCCTCAATTAATTGATTGAAAAGTTGCTTATGAACAATAAATTAAAGTGTACCTTACAGACATGATGTGCATTGATTTTTCAGTTATGAGAGTGAAGAATGGCTGTTACCAAGTGGATCAATGTGTTCATCGCTTTCGTCACATTCGTTCAGTTCACCGGGTGGTTCTTGTAATGGAACACCGCATTTTTTCATATCGCCAGACGATGACCGATTCGAAGTGGGAACAAACACTGAAACACGATCGATGCACAATGTGGATAAAATAATTTTCACTAATGACGAAGACAGCGGTGATGAAATGAAATGCACTCATAAAGCATTTGCATTAACTCATTCAAATTCACATCAATCAAGCACTTTAACGCATTCGTCAAGCAGTCATAATACGGATGACAATCATGAAACTAATAATAATAATTCACCTACTGAAGCAAGTTTCGAGCGTTGTTCCAGTTCTGAGCATTCACCTCGTGATGAAAATCGAAAAGCTGTTAGACGCATTCCTTTCGAATGTGACGATGATGTCCTTATTGATGTGTTCACACACGCTCTTCCAACAGCCAAAAGTATCATTTTCTATTCATTTATATTAACATACAGTTTTATGTTTCCTCCTTCTCAGTGCGCAATTGATCGAATTGATCCACTCTTTTGTGCTTTCGAGATGTTGCTTTCGCTGTAGCAGTTGGGGAACGATCTGATGAGTTCATTTTGCCGTATCATGTATGCAAGGAGAACATAGATTAAAGTTGATCGTTTTGTGTATTGTTAATGTGTTATTTGTATTTCTTTCCTTTCAAGAGGATGGCGCAGGCGTTGTGATGAATTGCGAACGAGTTTTGATTGGCTCAACTGAGGTGGAAAGTCTATCCGATTTTTTGGCAACGTCTTCATCCGTATCGCCATTGGAAACAACAGCTTCTTGTGTGGCGTTGGGATCAAGACGTGAATCGTTACCTCGTAGAAGTCAAATTGCAGCAGCATTCCGTTCAATGTCTTCTGCGCCGGCCGTATTCTCCAAAACAACTGGATTACCTCTAAATTCAAGTCCTGCCCCTCTCACACGCAACGAACGAAGCTTTGCTAGCTCAGATAAACATCCTCATCATCATCATCATCACGTTTTGCATAAGTACTGTTATGTTATCCCATCGTTATGTTACGCGTATTTTACTGAATGTAATCGAATCGAAACAACATTTAATTAAGTCGCTCTAGCTCTCACAATCAGTCAACTGTGATCATGTTATCAAATCACCTGTAAACAAAGTCAAATTGAGTTATATTTTCGATTATCTTAATACGACTTTCAATCAAAATTGTTCGTATCACAGTGTTGGTGTTAATTGAAATTTGTTCAAAAATATTTATTCGCAATATTCATAATAGTTAAGCTAATCTTGATAATGTGAGTGATATTGAAAGCTGATTCTTCATTCATGGAAAGTTGATAATATCTTCGTGCAAAATAACCAAGTGACGTTGAAGCACAACGATTGGCGACGACGATAGTGGTACGAGCGATAACGAGAGGGTTTGTACTGCAAGGAGTGCACCAACAAGTAGTGGTTTACTGTGCAACTTCGAAGAGAGTGCTCTCAACGGTCGTTTGGAACCACTGGCTGCACTCGACGGATTTCACCTTCAGATAGGTGATAGCAATCTGTTCAATATGAGTTCTAGTAATGCTTTTCAGTAAGCCGATCTGCTTCAGTTCTAATCCTGTTTATGCGAAACATGAAAAGCACTGCAAGAGAGCTTGATTATTGATGGTTGCATTTTTGACAAGAATTCCATTGTACTTACAGTTTCAGTTTCAATAGCAATATCTGTTAGCAGTTGGCAATTATGCTGATTTTTTTCTTCATCTTTAGATTTTTGAGTTCAGTAGGAGTAAATGGAAAAATTTGATTTAAGTTAATGAAAGAAATGTAATAACGATACTGTATTTTCAGCAGCCAGTGGGTCGTTCTGTGCACCTCATGTTACTTTACCCGTGACAACATTCTTTTTCAATCTATCAGATGACGATGCTCCATCTCCTTATTTGGTTTTTACTTTTTCTCTGCTTTATCGTATTCTATTTGGATCGTTTACCGCGCGCTCTTATTCCATCTTTTGTCGAACATTGAGAGTTATACGTAATCCAAGATTTGTATTTGTTGTAGGGACATTGCTCACTGGAACAGCTCGGTCGTAAAGGCTATCATATTCCGAAGAAGGGCACTTTTCAAGCGGTTCTCATTTTTTCTCGAAAAAATTATTTTATTTTTATTCTTCACATCAATTTTTAGTGTCATGAAACTGAATACTGCTACGTGCAGAGCTTAGTTTGTTTTCGAGTCGTCAGAATCTCCTTTCGCGTGAATTCTTTCATTATTTGCGTTATCGTCAGTTCATAATCGCAATCGATTCGTTGTTAAATTTGAGGCTTTGTTCAATCCACAAGGCACAGTAGTGCGCATGTTCATGGTGCGGTTCGATGTGAGTGAAATGCCAGCTTCATCGCAAACTTTCTTACGGCAACGTACATTCTTTATGCCATCTGGATGTCCCATTGAAAGAGCGCAACGTTCATGGCTTAAATATCTTATCCATCTGAGGTAAGTGACATCGCATTTTCTTTTATTCATTCTATCATTTTATCGCATAAAATAATGCCTTTTTCGTTACTTTTAATTTCCTCAGAATTTCTGTTTTCGGCGACGTATCGTTTCAGTTACCATCAAACAATGTCATCATCATTATCATAAGTTAAATTTGTAATCGCATTCAACCGTTGGTTCATATGTAAGCGTAAACTTTCAGAAGTCATATCTGGAATCATCGTTTTGATTGTTTTGTTTTGAATGTTATTGATATTCATGTTTTGAAGGCTGGCGACCGATCGACGCGGACGTCTATACGTGCATACAGACATTCGAATGCTATTCTCGCAGAAGGGTGATTTGGAAGCGTTGAACATTGAGTTGGAAAAAGAATCACAACAAAAATATGAATTGCTTTCATTCACCGAAATGCCACAAAAGCCACGCTTCTCACCACGAAAGTGAACGAACTCAACTAATCGCAGTGTTGCGGTGATTCAAACAATTCAGTTCTTCATCATTACAGTTCGGCTCTTCAATGCGTCGTGATTTGATTTCCGTTTCATTTTATTCTTCAGTATCGTCTTCGTTGGCTAGTCTATTGGAGTTCCCTATTGCCATCACAGTTTGTTCCGCTTAATCATGATCGTCTTCATTCGCTCGAAACGATTGTTCTGTGTGCTCTAATAGTCGTTTATTTTCACGCGCAGCGCTTTGTTGATTAACAGTCAAATTTTCATCCGAAAACATTTACATTTCTGACTCAAAAAGCACAGAAAAGTTACCTTTGATTTTGTTACGGAGGAACAAATGTATCGAAATGTAAAATTATACAATCACGGCCAAATTTTATGAGTTACATAATCCGAAAGTTTTGAAGTGATCATTCACTTTGGTCACACCGACTTTTCATTTGGACCATAGCCATAGAAATTGCGTTATTGATTTCAACGTGATTTTGAGGTGGACAACATTAATCGTAAATCAACGGTACACATACCAGTAAGGGTTTGTGAGCGAACGACGGAAAATGTTTTGAAAAGTATATCTCATTTTGTTTATAACCACAGGTTGCTTTCGACGCCTTCAGAAGAAGTGTTTCTGTGCATTGAATGAGTTCAGACTACTTCTCTTCTTTTCGAAAATTATTGAATATTCAAGAATCTATATATTTGATTCGTTATGCATTGCCTGATATTATTATTTGTGGTCTCCTGCTTTTAGTGATTATAATTTTTTGTTCTTCTTCGTTTGAATTTTGATGTGTCGTACTGACTGATTGTGAGGCAAATGATTATGTGTCATTGCAATTTGGGTACATTTCTAAGCGTTTTAGTTCTCACCCAGTAAGAGCTGAAATAATTTCAAACTCGAAAATTATGAACAATTTTGTCGCTCTTATTGTATTGGTGAATTAATACTGTCAGAATATTATTCATGTGATAGTAGTTTCGTGTATGATGTGTGATGCGATTCAAAACAATTTTCTGTTCTGGTTCATCTCAATGTTCCCTCAGAAGTCTGGTTCAAGACTTCACCAAATTTGAGGAGAATATCACTGAAGAGCTCCAAAATTTATCAAGTTGAGTTTATTGTCAGGTATTATTTTTTTTTCAGTCAATAGAATCCAGAACAAAGCATTCCTTAGAGACATTTATCTTTGTTTGGAATTGAGCAGGTCCAGAGGTGATGAAAATTTCTCTTATAATTATAATGTGTGATAGAAACATTGCTTTCAAGTATATATCATTAGAGTTGGGTATTCATTTTTCAGTTGTTTTGCAAGATTGACAGTGATTGTTTTGTGTAACCTTTTGTCGATGTTCTGTCCAGTTGATATGTTTTTATTTCTTCATTGAGCTGTGCTCACTGCACATTTATGTGAATATATCTTGTATTATTTTGTCTGCCTTTTGAAATGAATCAATTCAATGAGACTGGTGGGTTATAAACCCCAGTGAATATAGTTCTGTCATGTTACACGAGTTCGTAAAATTTATCGTTCACAGTTTAATTCATTACCAAGCCGTTTCTTACTCAGTTATCATTCGTTTCTTTCGCACCTGATAATTTCAGTTGGTAATTATAAGTGGTAAGAGATAATTATATTCGTTTTATGTGATCGATGGTGTTAATGAGTGATCATGTAGCATTGTATGGTTTGTATTCTATCACTTGTAAGTTGTGTATTATTTCGTTGCACTTCATCTGTTTCGTTCATTAAGATTATGTGGAATATTATTGTTGTATTAAAGATTGTTTAAAGTTCGGCTTCATATAAAAGTAATCGTTCATTGTTTCGTTCTTTAGATTCAATTTAATTGTCTTCTGAACTTCAACAAATACTGTCAGTGTTCACTTTTTCATTAATTAGTTTTTCATATTGTTCATCGCAAATGCGAAGGCATTGGTGATGGATTTGATCTTTATTCGACGAATTCACTAATATCAGCTGCAGCATAAAACATCCGTAGAGTCATACTCAGACATAGCATTTCAACGCTGAATTTATAGTCTGTAGCAAAAAAATTTTGGCTCATTTAGTGATGACCAAAAATAAATCATTATTTTTGTGACGACTATGATGATCGTTTCTTTTTGTCGATTACTTTGATCAGGATTTGAACCATGATATTTGTTTCTCCTTTTTTTGATTACATCTTCGTGTTCAAGACGATTCAATGCAGTGTTTTTTGTTCGTTTGAAGAACTGACAATAAGAACGTTGAATGTCATAATCTAATTCTATAAACCGTAATTTAAACAGCACTCATATTTTAGTACTGTTGATCTATATATATTCAAAATTTACGCTGACTGATTGAGCCATCAATAGAAACATATTGAAAAGTTGATTGTTTTGCAAGTGAAAAATTTATAGGTAAGAAAGATGTAATATAGAAATGCGTAAAATTAAATAGGTGTGTTTTGAAGAAAGTTTGGTAATAATTCAAAAATTTGATCATAGTCGGTGATTGGTTTTGTTCAGCGAGATGCAATTAGCAGAAATAACAGTTGAAAGGCTTCGCGATATCAATTATTGTTCATAAAGTATACACAAGTTGATTGTAATAAGAATGCTTGCAACTGAATAACACAAATAAATGAGCGATTAACAACAATGCACACAGAGTGTATTGATGAGTAATAAGGAGCATGATACAGCAATAAAGAAGAGCACAAACGACAGTAATGCCAATTGCGTGATTGGCATTGAACTGGTGATTGTACCTGAGGATGGTTCTAAGCCTGCAGCTATCAACGCCGCATCACCGTTGCACAACGAACGTTCACAAACGCATCTGGATGTCCATTTGGAACCGAATCCACTTTGTTGACAGCCACTTTCTTCTATCTCATCACCACATCCTTTGTGTACGGTGCGTCGTTCTGAAAACAATAATGTCTGTCTCACCGTCTTGTCTCATTTCTTAATAATTCCACTCCAAGCTCAGTTACATACTAATTTTCAACATGTCTTCACACACACACACACTTCCAAATAGTTCATTTTCATGATACTTGACTCGCTTTCAAAATATCCCATCCGTACAATATATAAGCCAGTTTTCAACGTCAACGTACCAGGCATATTTTCTTGCTTAAACTCAACTTAAAACTCCTCTCAAAACACAGCGCTTAGGTCAATTATCTGCACTCCTTCCTCCCCCTCTCTTATACCAAAAAATTGCAAAAACATTCACCTCGGATAGCTGTTGAAGTGAACCGATGCCGTTATGGATTTGTATTTGTTATTTTGTTAAATATGATTAAATATTGATCTTATATCTTATAATGCTTATTTATTCGTTCCAAAATAAGCGGTTGAGTTGAATAAATCAGTGATACAAAAACGGAATGAATCACTTTCAACGAACCATTGTCTTTGTTTGATGTTTCCATTTTGATGCAAACAGCACCGTCGCATTCCCCGTCATTGCAAGTACCTTGATCCGAATGACAATCGAAGCATGTGATTGCCTCTCCTAAAAGATAAATACCAGCTGCTGGTTGTGAGGTACTACAATCATTTATCAATACACTGTTTTGTATTTCTGTGTTTTCTTATTCGCTTAAATGCAGTAATAATAACGTTTATTTTTATTGCTATTATTACCTCTATGATCTGGACAGAAATTTATAAAAAAACTGGTCTACTATGAAGAAACTTTGATTGTAGATTCACATTCAGCAGACCCTATTGCGCATGAACGTAACATATTTGTTTTCGTGTGTTTGAAACAAAGATTTATTCCACGATTTTTGTTATTATTAGTTTTTGATCGTTGACATGTGGGTATTACTCAGTTTGATTTTTGGCAGCTTCAAGTCATATAAATGCGCATTTGCTCGTATTATAGTCGTGAAATTTCAATTTGCAAAGCATTTTTCAACTTGCAATTTGTGCAACCTTATTCAAAATTTAATCACAAAGACTCCATATTCATAATCCAATCTCACTTAAAGCATACGTAATGAAGTACGAGTTAATATTCTTAGTGACAGTGTATTTAATGACTAATTATTCAATTTAAATACAGCCAGATTTCTCATCAATTCTTTCGAAACGTTTAGGTACAATAAGAGAACGATTATTTGCTTGTTATGCAGAATCTAGAAAGGAGTGTTACTTTTAATTTGTTTACGATACAGAAAAGGAGTTTCAATTTTGGTGTAAAGTTGTGTGGTTTGCAGTGCGCAATTATCTATGACGTTTTGCAAATATCACGAATTATACGTCGACTTATGCAGTTTTGATTCGTTGTGATATCAGAGTGGTTTGTCATGCAGCGAAAAAGTGTATTTGTTGGACACTTTGTATTTGATATGGCGTATTGCAAATATACTAAAAAACTAGATGTAGTTCAGCCTCATCTCTCTAAGAACCTAGACCCGAGCACAGACTTAAACCTAAGCTCCAAGACGAAGTGTGAATCGCAAGCCTATTTCAAGTTAATGAAAACGGCATCGGAAGTATTTTTATGGCATGCATTTTACAGGCTGTTCTTTCGATGGTTTTTTTTTGCTTGAAATGAAGAAAAGAAAGGCGAGTAGGCACACTCGTAATCATTTCAGTGAGGCTATTCAACAAGATTAGCCTATTACTTTCTCACGAAGATTCGCTTTTCGAATGTGTGCATGCAAATGTGCCCGTACGAATACACTTAACATAGAAGTGTGAAAATGACATATCCACTTGAAAGCAAATGGGAATAATGTCAACGAAAAAACACAGCACGTCTATAAGCATTCGGCAAACAATAGAAACTTCTTTCAGATTGCATCGTTCCATTGCTTGTTATCTAGCTCATAAAAAATTACTCGCATTTATCAATTTAATTGTTCAAATTGATATTCACACTCTTTATTCCTCATTCATCAAATGCCACCCACTGCGTTAAATTGTATCCTATGCAATTGCAATAAACCCAGAAAGCTGTTGTTCGTATATGCGTGATATTCTCATGCATTTGTAGGTAGATGAAGGAGTTCATATGGAAAGAATAAACTCATCATCTCAAGAGTTTAGAGTGGTGAAGTTAAGTTGCTTTTTCGAAGGAAAGAAAGTGTTTTACTTTCTAAAGCTATTCATTAGAGGGTTGCAAAAGATTATGAATGATTAGCGAGTGAGCGCGTTGAGTGGAGCACTGACAGAGGGTTGATTCTGTAACACCACTTATCCTCAGTGTGGGAGCATTAACTACACTTTCATTTGTTCAAAATCAAGAAGAAGAACCTGAATGAATGAATTCCAGTTGTATCAAGACGTAGACTAATAGAAAGGTGAAATCAGCACTCATTGCGGTCGGTTAACAGTAATAGCAATTACTCATTGTGAAGTACTCGTATCATAACGAAAATCGTCTCGAATGTTGCAATAGAGATGGTTGAATGTATGCGATGAAACCAGTAAATTGTGGTGTTTGATTAGGAAGAATAAGCAATAATGAGGAAAATGGTCGATGGTAGAGATGTGCTGTATAGAGATGATAATGAGTGTCGTTAATCACTTGTGCAGTGGTTAATTTCAAAGACAGAGATAGGCAGCTTTAGTGCGTGATGTAAAGGTAACGTGCTACCGTTTAAGCAAGAAGAATCACTAGTTGTGAGCGATGATGGTTTTATTAATAAGGCAGAAGGGAAGGGGTGTTTAAGGATGCGATGGTGCAAATTCGTTTAACTCGATGAGCACTTGTTTGGTTGGTGCTGGCTGCGATGCATTATCATAATAATTTGATTGCTTAAGACATGTTCATATTAGCATTTCGATGCCTTTTAACTGCTCACTGCTTGTACCTACTCTCGAAAATACTTTACGTCGTTTACCAGCAATATCTGATTCATCTTTTCGTACATCCATCTATATTTTGATAATAGTAAGAGTAGTACTAGTAATAATAATAATGATAGTAATAATGATAATAATAATAGTATTATTAATATTATTATTAATAGTAACAATAATAATAATAATAACAATAATAATAAAATTACAACAATGATAGCAGTGACACTATATGCCCATTTATCTTTATTTTTGTTTAAGCGTGAGTAGTAATAAATATTTTAGCAGCAATAATTTTTGTACATTCCCACTGATGCCGAACCAAAAGTGCAGATGCCCAAAAATGTTGGCCATAATATATGTTCACTTGTATTCTTAATGCAGAGTCTTTATCGTTCATAGCAGTGCTCTACCCTGACTCGAGCTCAATCACATTACGATATGCATGTAAAGAAGATGCTTTACAATTAAAACTAGTTGTCTGTTTGTTACAGTCCGACAGCTTCTCTCAAAAAGAGCAATAATCGAGAAAAATGTCACGAGGTGGTCGTGGAGGAGGACGAGCCGCGGCCACAGCTGGCGTACGGGCAGTGGCAAGTGCACTCGGTATTGCACGACATGAAATGAACGCATTCACAACGATCGTCACTGAACCTCCACCACTTTTTCCGGTTTTTCAGTTTTATTATCGTTTGTTTGAATAATCAACATTGCTGATTGATGAGCACTACTCTGATGTCACCATGTAAATTAGTGAACCATTCAACTAGAATCGGAGTATGAACACACTGCTGCTCGAGTAAGCAGTCCTGATTGAGTTTATTCCAGCCATTGTCAAATCTGCCATCTCGAGTGAAAATGAACGATGAAGAACAGTATCAAGTGGAACTGAAACAAGAGCTGATGGCTAGATTCCATGAGTCTGCATTTTATATGGAAACTGAAACTAAAAAATCTGACGTACGACGTTACACAGACAAATATCGAAATATTGAAAGGGAGAAATTTAAACCGAGTCAGTAATGCTCAGATTCATTATAATAGTTTCGGCGTTCTTTTCGTTCGGTTAATCGGAGGAAAATAGTGTATGTTTTACGAGTAAATGAAATGATTGGAATCTCAGATTGGAATCGTTTACCGAAAGAGTTGCGGCCTAAGAAACGGTCATCCGAGAAACATGCCGAAGCAGTGAAAAAGAAGAAGAAGAAGAAATTCAACGAATTCGATAAAATTGGTCTTGAAGAGAAATTTAAAGCACTCGAGAAGAAGGAGGTTGAAAACGTTGAGGGGGACGAGGATGGAAACGCCGAGGAGCACGATGACGACGATGGTCAAAGTGAAAATGAAGAGCGAAACGAAAATGAAGAACAGGTTGAAGCAGTTTTGATGTTCATGAATTTGATAAGTGACTTTCAGTATTATCGTATTTCAATGGGCTTTGTATATCGTATTGAGTGAGTCAGTAAAATGACGATTCAATGAGAGGTTTGGTGGTACTGAAATGTAATCGCTTGTTAATGCAGCAACTGAAAGTGATTGCTGTCTCTCAAGCTCGAATTTTTGACTTGATCAGACTCTCCCATCAGAAGGTTTTGGGAAGATAATCGTTCTATGAGAAAGTCACTTGTGTTGTGCAATATGCGAATCAATGAATGAATAAATTGAAAAAGTTTAGTTTACGCAGAATCACAAGAGAATTATGAGGAGCATTAGAGTAAAACGTATTAGTTTCTGGCAATTTTTCTAACTGAATAATGTCATTTTGAGGAAGTGCCATCAGATGATGATTACTTGGAAGAAGATAACGATTATGTGCACTCATATTTTGATAACGGTGAAAATTACGGCGATATGGGCTCTGATGATAATATTGATGATGATAACGCTTATTAAACCATGTTCATTTGTATCTTTGCGTTACATTGATGTGTGACAGTAAATTTGTATGATTAAAATTGCATAAATTTTGTGAATTTTCAAAATATCAGTTATCTGATCAAACGATATAAGATTCGTATGGACGATTCTCAAAAGAAATCAGGACGTTATTCATTGCTGATGTCATTCATTTCAATTTTGAAATTAGAGATGCACTTATTTGGTAGTGAAGAACAAAAAATGACGATTAGCGTCCCTAATCGTTATTTTTTTCATTCTTTTCACCGCATTTCCTGTCGCTGATATAACTGATCTCAATTATGCAGACGATATTGCACGTAGCTGAGCGACTCGTTCACATACTTTGTATCTGCCTTGATCAATTTAAGCAAGGAAGTAGCAATTTCAAGATCTCCATTTTCAATCTAACGGTACTTTCAGGTTTGCACGGCAATACATCTTTTTCTCTCCACCATCAGATTTTCCAGATTATCTAGTTTCAGAGTAGTACTTATGTTATTGGGCGATTTTGCCTACTTTCCGAGAAACTGTTGCTTTTCTAAAGGCATCTCGTTTAGTTTGGGGGCGCTCATTTTAATACGCTGTATCTCTGTTGAACTCTTTAGCAGTATCAGGGGCACAACATTCAAAACAATGCCGTTCTCAGGTTTGCTCGGAGACATTGTGATTTCTTCGCACCATTCGATTCTTCAGATTCTCTAGTTTCAGAAGATGGTGATTTTGCTTGTGTTCAGAGAAGTAGCCTTACTACGTTATGACAGAACGATCTGGAGAATGCAATGGCGTGAATGTACACCTCATTCTGATATGAGCCTATGCCCAAATATAATATGCATCAGCGTATTTATGTTAGAATATCATCACTCGCTTTCATATTATTCAAACAAGATATCTCTCAGCACGATGTATGCAGTGCGAACAATCAACCTATAGCACTTAAACGAATGTGCGTTTTTAGATTAGCGATTTTTCCGGGAATGCTCATAATTCCATTGCAATTTACAGTTGGTGATAGAATTAATCAAGGAGTCGTCAGGTTTAATATAGGGGATATCCTGTGCTTTTTTCGACTTACGATATTTGTATGTTGTGAGTTTAGACCAATATGAATTGTTCTCGGATACGAGAAAATTTTATTAACTTGTAGAGTAATCTGTTCTATTTGCAGCTTTCTTTTGCTTTCAAGTTGTTCATTTCACGCAATCGTATCGCTGTCAGTGATCATTTCAAATCATTCTTGAGGAGCCATGGTGGTAATTCTTGCGATATTTTTTGCTTCATAATTGATTTATTTATTTTTTGCTTACGATTGATTTATAATTTGTTTAAATCATAGTTGAACACATTTGTATCTCTTTCATCACAATTTTTGAACTGTCTGCACGTAGTCCTCCAAAGATGCCACCATCTGCAACTTTATTGAACCAGTCGTTTCCTCAGAGTCCTGACAATTCCATTCTATCGGTTCAGTCAAGGCTCTCGCGATTATTTGCATCTTAAGCCAAATAAAAAATGATTTAATCAGATGTCGGAAATGTCTAAACTTTCGCAGCAATATGAGTTTCGCCGTGAAAAGAGAAGCGTTATCGTAATTGAAGTAAACATTCAAATAGGCAGTCAAATATCCGCGAAAATGAGGATGGAATTTTTTAGATAGATTGTTTATGCTCGTTGAAATTTACTCTTCCTATCTTACTGTTAAGCGTTCATCCGAATGCAGCAGCAGTTGAAATTTCAATGTTAATGTTTGATGTTGTGAAGTCAGTTTTCACCGTGTGACTGATTGCAGCTTCCACTGTCCCTTTTACGTACCGCACAAAATCATCCAATGTTGGTGGAATTAAAAAATGGAGAAACATACAATGGTCATCTGGTGTCGTGTGATGCATGGATGAATATACACTTAAGGGATGCCATCTGCACGTCAAGGGTAATCACTTTGAGTTTTATTTGAAAACCGATCAAATTCCTTTCAGTTTCAATATACCTTCTTCAAAAGTTTACGAATACAATGCATGCATGTCATCGAATATGTATTCATCAAGTGGTTTTCATTTTTGTCATCATATTATTGCTCGTGCATGTTGTCCCATACAGCTACGAAATTGGTTATAATCGTTCAGTACAGCCAACTATGAACCGCCACCTAATTTAGAATTACAGATCATCTTGTATGTTATATTGTAGATCATCATTCACTTTTGACCCTATAAATTGCTGTCGTAATGAGAACTAGTTTCATAAATGATCAAGGTGATTTTCAATTAAACTTGATAGACCCTGGAATAGCCTGAAATGTCGACATGGACACATTTTCCTATTTTGAAAACGAATTTCTTACGCAAAATTCCCGTTCTGAAAACAAGTTCTTCATCTTTACAGGATGGCGATCGTTTCTTGAAAATGCCCGAAGTATATGTAAGAGGTTCAACCATTAAATATTTGCGCATACCAGACGACGTAGTTGAACTCGTCAAAGATGAGGTTAAATTCAATTTCTAGTGCCTTCCATAACGTCAATAAATTCTGTTTTTTTTNTTTTTTTTCTTATTTTATCACCTACGATATTTTATTACTTATCATGTGCATATATTGGATGGCTGATTCATACTAGCTTTTTGGAATGCTCATACGGATTGTTTGAGTAATATTAGACAAACTCGTATATATAAGGGTTAATCTCCATCACTCACAGATGCAATATGAAATTGTGTAATTTTAACACATCCAATTAGTAGCAACCGAAATAAAATGAAATGAAATTATTGCTCTGATTCATCATTTTAATAGCACTTTATATTCATAATATAGATGATGTTTAACCGACCTGTAATCTGAAGTATTTGAAAAATGTTTGAAATCCTCCTGAAGATCATTGCAGTGCTCACATGAGATTGGCTTGTGAAAATGTTGCTCATTGTCATTAAACGGAAACTGGTTACTTGTTAGTAAGCAGATGGAAACCCTGATAAACAAAGACTTATTTAACTGATTTGTTGATTAGGTGAAGGAAGTAAGGCGTCAGCAAAAAGATCAACAGCGTGCTAAGCGGTCGATGCAATCAGGTAACCGTGGTGGTACCAGTCAAGGTGGCACCAGGGGAGGTTCAAGTCGTGGCGGCGGGCGAGGAGCATCTCAAGGTGGAGGTTCACGTGGTCGAGGCAAATAACACATCCGTTTCTATGATTTTGATCTCATTCACAATCGCTGTTACGTTTTGTTTGTTTCATTGCATGTTCATTGAATGTGAGCAACTTCGTGTATTATCCTCCTCTAAATTGTGATCGACTATTCATTTGTAATGTAATTTTCATTTACAATTTATCTTCTCGCAGATGAATGTTAGAAAGAAGATGTTGTTCCATCTGTTGCTGTTTTTATCAGGGAATCATGCTTATGAAATTAATCTGTGAATGTGCTTCCCTGAGATGTACTGTATACATCAAAATTAAAAAGCCATTGGTATCGCCTCGAATTAATTTAAAAAATTTTTTGATTTCATTTTTCAGATTGTTATTATTTTAGTGTGGCTGTGCGCGGTCACATTATCAGCAGATTCACTCGAAAAGAAACTGAATCACTGAGAATGTGATGAATTTTCAGCAACCAGTTTGAAATGTATAACCTGGATTTTAGCGTAATTTCTACAATCCATAAATGCTGTAACACATCAGTGATGGTAACCGAGCGAAGTTCGGTTGATAAGATCCAGCAAATTTCGGTCGGACTCTTGAGATTCGGATTCCGATTGAAGAATTTTGATGTTCGGCCGGACTATCGAGTTTCGGAATGTTGAAAAGTCCATTCGATAGGATTCTGATTGAACTGAAATTTTGTTTGGATGCCATCACTATGTATCCATTGCCACATTTCGTGTTTTGTTATCGTTTGCAAGTGTTAATTTTTTTGCGCTATTTAGTGTTCAAAAATTCTCATTTCCAATTCGTGTAATTCATTCCGAAAAGGAGTTGAATTTACACGATAACAAAGTTTGTATGGATGCCATCATCTGTGGATTGTGCGAAAGTCAATCTCGAAAGGTAATACGACATTCGCACTTCATCATCGCCTGTTATCATCTTTAATGTATTGTTCTGCTTATTTAGTAATATAAATATTGTCTTTTTTATATTTTGTTCTTTTCACTATATTCGTGGATTATTTCCTTAAGGGATTAGTAAAAGATTCAAGCAAATGTATAGTTTTAATTTTTTCGGGTTCATCAGTTGTTGTTTTCTAATGAATTATCATTACAATTGTTATTTTATCTTGAACTAATTTAAAAACCTCTTACTAGTGCTAGTTTTAGTGCCAGTAGGATGTTTTTAATTTAAAACTAGTATCAGTGTTCATCTATCGATCGTAATACGATGTTAGTATTAGAAGGATGTTTTTTGTTGAATTATTCCATTCGGTTTCATTCGAGTTATTGCAAAAGACGATTTGTGATACACGAAACAGATTCTCTAGGAAAAAGAAATTGTACCGAAACGATGAATATTGAGCAACTGGCGTCTGTTGTAATTGATTTAGCTATCATTGGAGTCCGTTGGGATTGATATAGCTATCGTTGGAGAAAGTTACATTCAGGTGAAGTGTGGTGTTGATACTGTTGATAAATGTTTTTGTCAAATTCTAGATATAAGTTGTTGATGTGAGATGGGTAAGAAACAGTCACCTACCAGTAATAATCACCTTCCACCACCAGTTCCACCTCGACCAGCAATACCCGGTGAAAATATTCATTATTCGACGGTACTTAATGGTCCTGTAAATAATCCTTACGCAATGCCATCGTATGGATACGCTCAACTATACCCCACTGTCGCACCGTACCCGAATAACAATATGTTTGTTCATTTTCGTAGCTAACTTCATCGCTCAAGTTGTTTCCATCTTATCCGAGACATTTCGCTTTTACTGTCAGTAGCCTCATTTCTGGCTTGACCATTACTGCTTTAGTCTGACTGACATTAGTAATTTTTCCTTTCAAATGTATCCATCTCATGTTCAGTGCAAAATCGACAAGAATTATTCGTACGCATTGTTCTCAAAGCAATTAATATTAGTCGTCAAGAAAGTTTGAGGTCGCGTTGAATGTATCGCAGTTTATTTTTCAATTCAAACAATACTTCAGCTGCTAGCGTTGTTTGGAATTTGTAACTGTCATCGAATATTTTCATTTTCTCTCCTCTTTTTTTTTGAGTTTCACATCGATGCCTCATCACATCAGAGCAACACTAGTGTAGTGTTTAGTGAAGTAAGCAATTGAAGTCACTTATTTTAAGGTATGGTAATTACAATTATACTGTACCTACGGAAAGTGCGTTCGCTAGGCTTGCAGACGAATCTTCAAGAGGTATGCATCGATCGCATTTGCTTTGAAATTTTCAAGCAATTTCATTTCTTTTACAGGAGCATTCCAAAACATCGATGCTATTGTAACGGCGGTCACCTCGATAGCCAATCTGCTGACCTCCACTCAAAATGCCATTCACAGCTCATTCAAAGCTGTCATTGGAGTTGTTGAGCAGTTTTCACGTTTGAAGTCACAGGTCAACAACCAAATTTGTCGCATACCCGAGAAAACTTGAACTATTTGGTGTCAATATCTGAAATTCTCTCTCACATCCGTTATCAATAGCATACTTTTCATGTATGAACTAAATATGTTTCAAATATACTTCACACAAATCGCTCGTTGCGGACCACTTTTTAAGTCGTTAATTAATGTTCATATTTCAACTGTCGTTTTCGAAGATACATCCATTATATAATGGTTTTTCATTAAAAACAACTATCATACAAATCGATTTTCGCATTGCAGATGAATCAGATATCAGTGGAAGTGAATAATTGGCATTTGTTTTCAAATTATTTTATAATGTTATGTTAATTTTGTCATATTGATGCCAGATTTTTAGTTCATGTCGCTGTTAGTGACATTGTCTGTTTTCCGATGGTTGAAACGTATTTGGCGCTCAATTTTAGTGATATTACGCTTAAGACCTGCAAACTTTTCGACCGAGCAGATGGTATGGCATGACATAAATATGAGCAAACCGGCAGGTATGTAGGTATATATCAGTAACTTGTTTCAAGAGTGTAGAGATTGAATCATGTTTCGTTTTATACTCGACGATTGATTGGGTGCGTCGGGTATTTCAGTGAATGATTGGTTTGCTTCATATGGCATAGCAGATAATACATTCAACTGGCCTGCCCTCTTGTTTTGGCTAGTGGCTATTGGCGGTCCCTATCTGATCTACAAGTGTATTTTCTCGTTGATGAATAAATTTGAAGAAACAAAACAGTGGGCTGCCGGATTTTCTGAGCATTACAATGCGACGGTATGAGTCGAATTTATTGTCAAACATATGTTTCAAACTGAAGGGGCAACCGCATACAGCGGCCCATTCGAGTGAATTACTTCGTCATCTTTGCCACGTCAGTTTTCGTGCTGTTATCTGTGCACTCCACTGAAACGCATGCTTTGCAAGTAGAATTTACTCAATTACATTGTTATTCGGATTGTTTTTGAACGTAATAATACTGAATTTTGAAATTTGAAATGAAATTTTGAATGATGTCAACAAATGGAATAATCGCAGCAAATTTTTTATAATTTAACAGGCATTGTATGATTTTGTTGGACATAGTGAACGTGAGCTATCGTTTCGTACTGGACAGACACTTCGGATTGCTCCAAGACATCAACAGCCACCAGTTCGAGGTTGGCTTCTTGCAAGGTTGGTTCATCAATTTACTGTCAGTTTTAAAATCATTTTGATAAAGTTGTTCATCTATTCTTGTTCTCGTTATCGCTGATTACCTGTTATTGTTATAAAACGTGTTTTATTTTTCAGCTCAGAAGGTGGTGAGCAAATCGGATTAGTACCAATGAATTACATAAAGATAACAGGACGAAAACTGATGTCTCCGACACCCGAGACAGAAACTTCGTTTGAAAAGATCTATGAAGAAGCATTCCGATTGCATTCATGACGATACAGTCACCATGCCGAGAACATTGCTTTCTGTGTTATTGCTATCGTAATAAATTGAATTATCATTTCATCAAAGTGAACCCTATGAGTCATATGTTTGAAATTTAATTTTGTGTAAACTATTATTCAATTTCGTGTGACTAGAAATAAATATATTTTTCAATATTTACTTTCATTCCATTGTCTTCGTTCCTGAAACGTCGTGTTTTTGATGCGTCCAGTTGTTTGCACTTTTCTTTCTTCCATTGTTTTATCGTTAAGATGTGTATTCCGGTCATCCGCTTTCTATCTAAACAACGATTCGCTCTTGGTTCCCATAGATTGTGCATGAAAAAATGTGATTTATTATCAGCGCTATAAATGTGTGGGTTGTTTCGGATTTGTCGCATTGTTTAAGATGATGCATCCATACTGGTGTTTGGGATTTGAATCAGATCAGTCAATCCCCGCCTAGCTTTGCGCACAAATCCACCGCGAAGGCGTTAATAACCAGGAACTCTCTCGTCTTGGCGAGGGCCCCTTTTCAGAGAATCGCTCGTGAAACGCAGATGACAAAAAAAAATAATGGTAATTCATCGTCATAACTCATCGAATTGATTCATTTGTCATAACAAGCATTTTACGTAAGTGTTATATGCAGTAATGTTGAGGCTCCGGAATCAAAAAAAAACTGGCTTTATAAAAGTTGCAGCAACGTTCAGTAACTGAAGCTGAGATCTGCATGATAAATCTTTTTCGGAGTCTGTGAGAAGCGAAGCAAATTTCGAAATTCGAGCCGTAGTCGTAATCGAAGAATTTGAGTATGCGGGACAGGAGCTGAAACTGGAGCCGAACTTTCAGAACTGAGGAGAGTCAGTTATTTTCAAATTCAGGTATTACTGGTTATAAATCTTTGTAAAGTCTGTATTAGCAACGATGAGGAAAGAGCAGAGTAAATGTTTCAATACGAATGACAATGGGAAGTCAGTTCCGAGGTTGTAAGCAGCACAATGACCATTGGTCGTCTCCCTTGCCAACCCACATGATTTCATGCAGTTACACTGATTACTCGAAGAAGTCAGATTTTTTGCCCTCTTTCGAGCATTTACGTTGTCCGACGGCGAAAAGTTTTATTGTCACAGTGCAAGCGTTTCGAAACAATCTGAGTTGCCATGTTCGGAAAATGCTTCAAAAACTAACAAATTATATTCCCCAAGACACAAACAAAGAGTGAGGGTCCTTGCGAGATATTTTATTCGAGAATTCCTCCTCCCCCATGGGTGTATCCGAGGGTACTGGAAATTTCTCCGCATCTGCGGGGATGGAGGGGGGGCACCTTTTTGAATACTGTTCAGTAGTAGTTGATTTTTTCCTCAAGCAATATTACCAGCGGTATATTCCGCTTCTGATCCCACAAATTTGGAAGTTCTCCAGTGTTCAGTGAGCTGGCACCTTCCTCTACCAATCATCCTACATCACCATTTACTTCCAGCCTTAAATTCCTTCTTAATCTGCTAGCTTCTTACACAATCTTTGCAGAAGTCTGAAACTGACCAGCGCAGATGAGTAAAATCTTTATGCAAGTAGATGTCTGATTTTAGCAACAAAAACTAGAAAATACTCTTTTTTGTTTCATAAGTGACGTTAAGCAAATGGAAAGGAACTAAGAAGAGAAATTTCGTTACAATTCTTTTGCATATGTGTTTACTTGTTTGGAAACTTAACGAAATATTAACAAATTTGATAACCTATGCACGACGTTCGTGATTCACGGTGAATTTTTGCTGAAAATTTTACGTTTTTGAGGTTAAACTAAGGTATTCATTTACTGAGTTCCCACTATAGATATAAAACAAATTACATTCTTAGAATGTGCATATGAAGAGTGCAAAGTGAAAGTGTTTGAGTTAATTGGTTTTAAATATAAATTCGAAACGATGAAGGATGAGAGAGCGATTGAATGATGTGCCGCTTATATACCCTTCAATAATGCTCATTAAAAATTGTTCATATAGAGCGTCAATGCAGTATCCCAAATAATAATAACTAAAATAAAAACGTGCATAATCCGATCGACAATTTTATCAACTTCTTCTCGTCATCTCTAGTCGTTTCCATACTTGTAACTTCCATATTTCCTCTCATATTACCTCAACGCACCATTGCTGTCAATTCGAAACGCCCTTTTTTTTCATTCGCTTCATTTAGCACAAACGTTAAAGCTTGACTGAAATTGATACGATTAACGTTTGTGCACATTGAATGAACCCTTATCACAAATTGCCTTCGTAATTAGGTGTTTATTGAACCTTTTAATGTTATCCTAATGAAATGTGAAATTGAAATTTCGAGTATAAGTTATTATGATTTTAAGTGATTGGTAGCCGTTAGTAATATAGCTTTTATTGCTTACACATACATTGCTTCTGTTATCATTCTCGCAAAACGTCATAGTCTGTTCTTCAAAAGAATCCAGACTTCATAAGTCTGTTCTGATTCATTTCACAGTGCTTTGTTATTTTTTCTTAATGATATTACACCGCTAAAAACATACATTTCATCTTTATCTTTATTAAGAAATACCTATTATTGTTTTTTTTATCACCGCTATTGTTATTAGTTTGTTTGTTATTATATTTAAGAATGTTTACCAAAATATTACTTACCAAAATGCGCATCGCAACGCATACTCATTTAAGAATGTTATTAGAGCTATAGAGTATCTAAAATTAATCATAAAGTTCGTGTGAAATAAAAACTTGTGTTTGTTGAGTGTATTTGTTATAAAAACGAGAGAAAAAGATGTATGCACAAGTACAATGTGAATGACACTATCAGCGCTTAATATAACATACTGCATGAGTGCCAGAGTTGTACCCAGAGGCAATATAAATATATAGACGTGTTCAATGTCTGTTAAAGAACTCTCTTGAATTTGTGCTTGATTACATTCGAGAAATTCGAGAAAAATGCTTGATTACATTCGAGAAACGAGTGCTCCTGTTCATAATCACTGTTTTTGTTTGTGTTATTATCGTATTGTTGTGTATTATGGTCAGTGTTTATTGATGGATATGAATAAATGCTTTATGTAAACAGTTTAATGAAAGACACGTTCATTGGATGAACGCAGTTAGCACTGGATGTTTACGCAACTGATGCGTGTAATTCGTCTGATTATAAATAAATAAGCAAACAGTATGAATATTTTTAAAGCATATTTTGGTGTGTAATATAATGGATCGGCGAAAACGATCAAGAGTAAGCGGCGTATATATGTAACATTCGCTTACACTTTGTGAAACAATTCATTATACGTTATCTGTTATTAGTTGCTGCTATCATTATTGGCCATATGTATGTTTGAAGTGGAAATGTCACTCAAAGTTGCGTATTGTTTAACTCACGATCAAAGTATCACTTGTACTCACCATCATTAGTTTCATGAACAAAAGTGTCCACACGATCGAAATTAATTGAACTAAACTGTCTCGTATTGAACTAAAACAGATCAATTGACTTGCATAATCCGTATTGCATTTGATAAAAATTTGAAGCGGTACTCTGAAATTAAGATGAGATTGTTGTTATTGCGATGAACATTATTATCTGATATTTACGATGAAAAGGTGATATACTTAAATTCATCATATTTCATTCGTATTTAAAAGTGATTTTCATATATCATTGGAAAAGAACATGTACATTGCATATGAAATGTACATTCGGCTATGGAGCTGTAAAACGTAATATCACTACTGTAGCGTACGCATGTAAATTTTTTGAGTGTAATAAATGCGATTTCAGAAGTTATCTGGAATTCTTATCGAAAAAGTGATATTCAAAACGATTATTGTATCCTTATTCACTACGATTTCATTTGTTGATTGTTTATTGAGATCGACATTCAGTCATATAGCTGATATCATATCGTCAATAATATTATTTGACTGGAAGGGAAATCTGATTGATGCACATCATATGTATGTGCTTTCTGTTGCAAATGGTCATCACAGGGGTCAGTATTTGAACCGTTCAGTACGTCGCTGAGAAACATTCATATGGTTCACTTTAACGGGTCATTATTGTTCACATGTATAAATTTGCATTGATTTGTTTTTTAAACACATTCCTTCTATACAATAATAAGGACAACTGTTTTGGGTATTGCTGATTTTACTGCAGAGCGGAAGTAAATTTCGATCTCGTTCCGTTTTATCCTCATCTCGCTGTCATAAATTCATTCAAATTTTGTGCTAGGGGAAAATTGTGGTGAGTATGTTTGGAAAAAAATATTTTACGTATTGTGTGATTTACATCTGTACATATATAATATCTAAAGCAGTGATTCTCATGGGTGATGGGTGATTTATTTGATGTCAAGGGGAGTGGAGGAGATTGACGAGTTATTGTTAACTGTTCAATAAGCTTTTTAAAATCCTTGCTCGTTTACAAGGAGTTGATTCCTTTGATACCACTGACAAATTTCTGACAGTCAACTCAATGTGCTGATTAGTCACTTGGAGATATAATTGGTTTTCAGGGGCGGTAGAATTGGAGCACATAGATTGTTGGAAGGGTAATGACGATCTGTGATACAGACATGGAGCATAAGAGTGTGAGAACTACTGATTTAAAGTATTCTTCTCATCCAATGCTTAATCTACGAATTATGTTTTTGTCTTTTTTACTGGCTTCTCCATCTTGTGGGAAAAGCATTATAAAATGTGATTCAATTCACATTCAAAGTAATGCTCTCAAATGAGTGAGTTCATTTTGATAGTGATAGTGTTGTGATTGAAAGCATGCGCTTTCTATGAAGCCTTCATCATTTTGGTTGAATTCAGTGCACGGGAAACGATTTGTTGAGATGATGATGATATCCTCGTTTAATTGTTTTATCGTTATTTTGTTCAGTATTAAGCGATTCATCAACAAAAGTGCATTCATCCTTTCATTCGTTCATGGTCCTTTTTCGTTAGAAAACGAAGTAATTGTTCGTTGTTCTCAAGTTTCATT